CGGGGGTAGGAGTGTCGGGATCGTACCCTCCTGTGACAGCAGCGATACCCCGTGGGTGGCACTCCCGAAGGTGGTGGATGTTATCCTTTGGCGTAGGTCACCAGTGCCATCGCCGTGGCCTCGGTGCCATGGCAGCTCCGTGCCCCTCCCCATAGCCTGGAAGGGCAGGCCAGGGCCCCGCATCGCACCCTATGGCAGCCATATACTGTGCAGGTTTGTAAGGACGAATAACCTGTTTGTAACAAGCTCTTCATAATCTTTTCTCCTGCTGCTCCTGAACCCTTGCACCAGTGGCCCTATGTGGGCTTACATCCTAGCCCACGAGAATGCTGTCCCTCTCTGGAGATCCCTGATGGGACCCACTAAAGTGTTCCGAGCCCGACACAGTGACCCGGACTCCATCCGAGGTGCCTACGGCCTCACGGACACCAGGAACACCACCCATGGCTCAGGTAGGCCTGGCATTCTTGGATGGCTCTCGGGGAGGCCAGAATGGTGGTGCTTTGTCTGTCTTTGCTTTGGTTCTGAGGCTTCAGAAGTGAATAATTTGTTCCCTTCTGCAGACCCCATGCACACCTGGCCAGGTGTTGCCAAGCATTTGGAGTCCAGCACATGTTTGTGGTGGCAGACTGCTATCTCCCACTGCCTTTTCCTCTTTTTTTTGACAGACTCGTCTGCCTCAGCTAGCAGAGAAATTGCCTTTTTCTTCCCTGAGTTCGATGAGCAGCGCTGGTACGAGCAGGATGAGCCCCAGCTCCGCCGTGGGCAGCTGTACTACAGTGCTGAGGAGCGCGTGCACCGTGTGCTCAGGCCGGAGGAGGCACAGGTGACCTGAGCTGCTCGTGAGAGGCTTTGGTTTGCTGACCTGGCAGCCCCTGTGGGCACTCTTTTGGAGCACCAGACACCGAGTGTGGGGGAGGGAAACCCTCGTGCATATTGTACTGTCTGAGATTATGTTGTGCTTCCTGGGATCGGGTTGTTGGTGTAACACGTAGATTCTGGGGTGCTATAGGAAGAATTGCCCCAGCAGTGCTTGTGCTGACAGAGTCTAGCTATGCAACTCCTTGGCTCCCTGAGTTTGGTTGGGTGTGAGCAGGACAGGTGAGTTGGTCAAGGGCCAGSTGAAGGATGGGCTGCTTGTTCCAGTTGGGATTGGCCTGGATTTACTAATGGGAAGCCTCAGGTTCTTCCTGCTGGCTTTTCCCATAGTGCTTTAGGGAGAAAAGAAGGAAAAGCAGCATGAAGAAAGGCATCAGCATGGCAAGATGAACTGTCGTGTCCTCGTTCACCTGCAGCTGGGGTGGGAAATGAGGAGCTTTGCCAATAGCTCTCCATGTGAGGCCTTGTGACAAAACASCCGAGGGCAGCTTGGAGCCCTCAGTGTCCCTAGCCTCAGTGTGCCTGGGGCAGTTCCACGTCCTTGGGAAATGGGATGGACAAAGCCACTGAATTACCCAGATATGTGATGGAATGATGACAGGGTGGTGCAGGAGGGCTTGCTTGGGAGGTACAGAGCCAGGTCCTGGCAGGCTCATTTGTGTTTCTCGCTGTGATGCCATGTGAGATGTGTTCCTGGATGGGGTTTCAGTCCATTTATGCTATCTCCCCACAGGCCCCTTACAGTGCTGCCATTTTAGTTACAGTGCCTTGATGTGCTGAGGGAATTTCCTTTGGGCAATCTCAGATGCTCAGGCTGGGGAAGGTATGCTGGGCTGTGCTCAGGACAGGAAAGCTGAGCCGAGATTCACCCRTGCCCTGGTATGTCACAGATCAAGGCAGGGGCTCTGTAGGTCCTTCCAGAACTCTGTGAGGTGTTGGGTAGTGACTGACAATGCTCTGTTGTGGAAAGCGCAGCCCAGTGCTACCACAGTTAAACTCGTTTGTGTTTGTGTTCCCTCCTCCTCCTGTCTAGAATCAAATGGTCATTGTTCTGTTCCAGGTACAGATCCAGGGATCTTCAGGACATCACTGCTGTCCTTGTCCTCAGCAGTGTCCAGAGGGGATCTGCTCAGGATCCTGTSTGTCTTCACACAGGTTTGAGAGCTGCTGTCCCCAGTGCTGTTGATACTTCATTGATATTTCGTCGGTGTTTTATTGATTCCTGGAGGTTTTGCTCAGATATATGTGTTTTTCTTGTAACTATTAAACTTGACTATTTTTCACCTTTCCTTTTTTATATTACACTTTCCTTGGGCATGTCATTAACTAATAACTCCTGACTCACACTATCCATTTTTAAAGTTTTGATGTTTTTTTCATACTCATTCGCAATGGCTACATTTGGAAAAAGGGCTGCTTTGAACACATACCAGTGCAGAGATCTGTGACTCAGCAGGATTGTCACAGAGTGGCACCACCTCACAGCCACCRTGATTCAGGTACCTGCCAGGTGTCACCTTGACGTTGCCCTGGCCCTGAGGCTGTACYTGAGCATAGGTGCTCAGACTGGGCAGCCCATTGCCCAGGCATAGGGTTTATTGTGCAAATCTAAAGCTGTTCAAGAAGCTTTATCAGAAACCTGAGGGTGAAACAGTTGATGTTAGATGCAGGAGATGTCAAAACTGATATTTGGTCTCCAAGGAAACCTTATGGAATGTCACTGGTACCTTTGCTTTGAGGGCTGTTATCAAAGTGGGTTTGCTTTGGTTTTGTTTTGTTTTTTGGTTTTTTTTTTTCATTTTCTTTTTCCCCTCCTTGTAAGTACCCAGTAAATGATTTTTCACATTTCCAATGGTGCTTGCCCTATCCTTGTCAGTGGCCTGGGCTGAGCTGGATGGGTCTGGAGCAGCCTGGTGTAGTGGGTGACATCCCTGTTCGTGGCAGGGACAGGGAACTGGATGAGCTTTATGGTGCCTCCCAGCCCAAGCCATTCCATGCTGACATCTCAGTGTGGCACTTCAGTACAGGTGTGAAGGGCAGTTTGAGATCCCTGTTTTTTTTCCTGGAAGTTGCAGGTCCCTGGCCCATCTGTTCCCACCTGGGAGCACAGGTGTGTGTCTACAGCAGGTATTGCCCCAGGTGCTGCTGCAGAAGCACTGCCTGGGGCCACAAAGTCCGGCTCATGTACCTGCAGAGACACCTCTGGTGTGGAGCTGGGCCGGGGGTCTCACAGGGATGTGCAGGTTTTAGGCATAAACTTGATCTGCTCTTGGAAGAATTGAGCAGGTTTGTGTCAGCGCTGGAAGGGAGAACACAGCTGGGCCTGGGAAGAAGGGAAGGAAAGGTTTCAGAGGGAAATCGGTGCTGATCCCAGCCCAGGCCTGCCTTCTGTCCCTGCCACCATGGGCAGAATCCTCTCAGCTTGAGCTTGATTTAGTGCTATATATTGATTTATTAACACAAACTTTTAGTTACTGGTTAAGATACAGAAGAAAACCCAAGATGATGATTAAAAAAAACACTTGGGGAAACACCTTTCCTCTGTTTTCCCAGGTTCAGCTTCAGTCCAACATCTTTTCTCCCCTCTTTCCCTGCAGGTTCTGCCCAGTCTCTCCCAGTCCCTGGGGGAGGTGACACAGCACAGGCGGCTGGGGCTGGGCAGGCCTTCACTTTTCTACTTGTAATTTGTTCCTCTTCTTGTTTACTCATTCATGGCACAGGCTGCAGTCCCTCGGGTGTGTACCTCTCCTGCCATGGTCTCTATYTGGGCTAGTCCCTTCAGGGAGAAATGGGCTAATGGGAATTTCATTAAGTTCCTAGAGGGAAATGCCATGTCCTACACCCAGGCAGGGATATTTCCATTTGGGGGACCAGAGCAGAGTTGCAGAGAATTACCTGGCTGTTCTGAAGGCCCTGAGCCACCCCTGAGTCAGCAGTACACCYCTCTGGTCTGAGAACACCCTCAGCTGTGGGAGCCTGAACACTTGCCCATCCCCTCCCTGGGGCACAGGTGAGGCACAGCTGGAGCCCTGGCTCCTGTTTCAGGCTCCCCAGTACAAGACAGCCTGGTCAGGACTGGACTCCAGCATGGATTCGTTACAAYGTCTGAGAACCTGACAGGTAAGGAGAGACTGGGGGCTGGGACTGCTCAGAATTAGGAGGTCAGTGGGGTTTACTGATGGGTTGAAATCCYAAGTGTGAGCATTGAAGGGAACCTGAGGTGTCCCAGGAATGGACAGAAGGCAATGGAAACAACCTGAAATACTGGCAATTTCACTGAGRCACGAAAGAAACTATCTTACTAATTTTCAAGAGTGATAAGGTCAGGAGCCCCTGAGCAAGGGAGGGCTTTGGGCTCAACAACCTCCAGAGTTCCTTTCTGTTCCCCTGTGGCTCTGGTGCTTGTGGCCCTGGGGTGTTGCTGCAGTGGGAGGGGATGCAGAGGGGCCACATGGGCACAGGTTGGGCCTCTCCTTCCTCCAGCATGGCTGTAATTCCATACCAGCCCATCTTGGGGGCTTTGGTGCTGTTTCCCTCCCTGCAGCTGATCTGCCCTTTCCCAAAGGCCTGTGTCCTGCTTTTCCCAAGCCTGGGGATGAGGAAAAATGGATGCAATGGAAATTTARGACAAATTGGTCTCCTCAGCTCTGACTGCATGAGCCGCTTGTCTCRGCTAAAGCTGCATCTCACTGTGCAGAGCTGGAGAGAWGGATGTGGTAGGGGGCCAAAGATTTTGTGGGTTTGATCTTGTATCAGGCTGGGGGTTTTCACATGGAAAAGCAGGCACAGAATCAAATTCCAGGCAAACAGAAGTCATGGTGTTCAGGGAAGACTGTCCCAGAGAGATCCAATACATCCCCTACCTGAAAGTACCAAGGAATTAATAAACAGTCAGGCTCAGATTTGGGGGTCACAATCATTTTCTTCAGAGTCTTCCCACAGAGCCACTGTAYAGAACAGGAGGGTCAAGAAGCGAGACAAACACCAGATTGCAGAAAAAAAAAATCCTCATAGATTGGGACTGTTTTTTTTCCCTAGCACAGAAAATAAACAACTTCCCACCTCATGCACCAGCCAGGGCAAGCTGGGGCTGGATCTGGTCACTGACCAAATGTAACCTTGAGCTTGATGTGGTGGCACAGACCAGGAAAACCCTATGACAGACCTTACTTCTGTCTACATGGACCAGTCATCCACACTGGCTCCTTCTCACCTGGRTCCAGACAGCCACATCTCCAGGACATACTCTCCAAAGCCCTGGTAGATCCCGAGCACTAGTTTTCATCTCTCTATGAGATCCCAATCCCAGTTACCAACATGTCCAGGACCTGATTGGGCCCTGCATTCACACATGACTATTGAGTACTTTCATTAGCCAGATTTCCTCTTTSATCGCTCCCCTTCCTTCCAAAACAATCCAGATAAACAAAACGTGGTTTTGTATCTCCCACAGCACCYAGGGAAAGGTAAAAGCCATCAGTTGTGCAAAGCTGCTGCTGGAGCAGAATATTTAAATTTAGCATGGGATTTGTTGATCCTTTCCAGAGAGAAGATATTCTAGGGAAACTTTTAAAAATCCATCCCTCTCCCAAGGAGAGTTCTGGGAGCAATGGGAGGGATGAATTATAGTACCAGCACTGTGGTGTGTCTGTGCAGGAAGCAGCAGCCGTGGTCCAATATTCCCCAGTCTGATTCCAGGTACTGGCTCCCTTCACAGGGACAGCAGGAAGGAGAAGTTGAAGCATTAGACAGAAAAACAGCAGCCAAATTACAGATGTGAGATTCTGGCAGCCATCACAAAACTAAGCTGTACCAGCATTCAGATAATTGTTTTTGTTATTTTGCAATGCAAAGTTTGGAGTTCAAATAAAGCAACTGAAAATCTTTCTGGCAGAGAGGAATAAGCCTGAGATAGGCCCAGGCCTCTGGTTTCAGCTTAGTCTGTATCCACAGATCAGGGATGGGAAAAGGGCAGCGAAGAGAGAAAAAAAGAAATAAATTGTGTTAAATTAAACCCTTTGGAAGTTACAAATCAGAGGTGACCCAGATTAGGACCAAGAGGCACCAGAATGAYACAAACAAGTTATGTATGAGGTATGCAATGGTGTAATAACTGCTCCTACCTACTGTGGGATATACCCAGTGTGGCTGGAGCAGAGCAGGAATTTGGGCAGGAGCTTCAACCACGTTTGCATATAGCCCTGGAACCTCAACATMGTATTTTTTGTTGCAATAACATGTTTTCAAAGTGTCTCCTGTAACCCAGATGTTTCCCAGAACCTGTCAAAGCACTAGCCAGTTACTGTTTTCTCCTTTCATGAAACTTCAGTGGTTTCAGGTGTGTCCTGTCCGCAGCCATTTCAAAGGTGSGAGGTCTGTGCAGACCTGGCCCTTCTCACTCCCAGTGCCTCTGCCCAGGATCTGACTGATTCCAGCAAGGGTGAATGAAGTGGCTGCCTTGAGCTTTTACCAGCCCACAACTTTTACCAGCCCGCTGTGGGTCTTGTTTATATGTTCACAAACATGCCAGGCGAGCAGATGAAGTGCTSTGGGCTTTTGTAATTGGTACTGGAGTTCCTGTGGCCTGTTCCCCACAGATAGAAGTCTGTGGGGGATGGGACCAAGCGGGCAAACTGGGAACGCAAGGACCTGATCTCTGCAATTTCAGCCTCCTGGTAAGAGTGCGCTGMTTTGCCTCAGGGGCAGAGTCGGTGCTCACACCGGGATGAGGAACCAGGGCTGGCTATGGGGACAAGGAGAGATGAGACGGGAGCAGGAGTGACAACTGCCCAGGAAGGATCATGAGCAGCCATGAGGCAAAAGTGCTGCTCAGTGATGACAGCAGAGATTTCCCTTGGTGYTTTCTGAGTACAAGTTGGCCAGGAAGAGGTGGTGACCCTGGGGCTGGTGCCAGGAGCACCCTTTCCATTTGGAGGCCCCTGTAGGTGTTGGAGCTGCCCCAAACCACACTGTGCAGGGGCGATGCCCCAGGGGTGCAGGCTGCTCACTTCATGTTGTGTGAGCTCAATGTTTGGGCTTTTGCAAACATCAGCACATCACAAACACATGTACATCTGGTCAGTGCCCAACACTGTGGCAAAGCCAGGAGCAGGGGCTCACTGGGGCAAGGGAGATGACACAGGCAGGTCACACCCACAGTCACACAGCCTGTCAGCTGCACCCAAATATGCTCATCTGTAGCTCGGTTACCAAGAGATACCCAGTAATAGCTAATCTGTTCCCAAAGAAATCCACTACAGAGTCAGAACTGGGACTAGGAGACACACAGCAATGTTGGGAGCAATTTCCCATTTCTTAGTGCACTACATGTGCTGATTTTATTCTTCAGGGAAAGAAATGTTTCTGTAACCCACCTCTTGGGTTGGGCAGTTGCTCCTACCCAGACAGGCTGTGAATCCCTCAGCTCTCCTTGCTAGATGCCCCTCTGGATTCTAAAAAAAACCTTAAAATACCTTCAGTCCAGTGTCAGTGGACACGTCAGTCTGCCCAATGAACCCCTTTCTGGAGAGCCCCTGGAAAGGGACAGCAGAAAACACAGCAGGAACTGCACAACAAAAAAGACTGGGGAAGTTTCAGAGAAACAAAAATAACAAAGCACTCCAACCAAACAAAAACCCCAAATCCAACCAACCAGAAATCCAAACCAGAAACCTCTGGAAGAGTTACATTAAAATTGATAACTTTTAACCTGAATTCCAATGCACCTTTCCTGTCACAGACAGACATAGCGTGTGGGTTTTTCCAGGATCAAACACTGAGCAGGAATGCTGCACTCCTGACCAGGTAGTACAGGCTTGATCAACTGCTGGGTGGTCCAGAACTCATCTGTGAACTACACTGAGCTCAAAAGCTTCAGTGTCAGTGGGACCTTCTGCAGCCACGGCTGTCTGTGGCAGTGACTGGGGTGTGCTCCCACAGTCCCTCAGTCCCACAGCTCCTCAGCTGCTGCTYTAGCCAGCTGTTCCTGCTTTATTCCTGCTGTGATGATACCTGCATCCCACACAGGAACAACGCCCAGAGCTGAGCATCCACCTAAGAAGTACTGGCTTGAGGGAGGGCTTTGCCTTGCATTTCTGAAAACTGTTTTAAAAATTAACAATAAAGTGTTTCCTCCTGTCCTGCTTCTCATCTGCTCACCCTTTTACTCACATCTGTGATGAAGAGTCAGTGGGGCTTCTCAGGAGCCTCCAGCAGGTACGGGGGACATGAGCTGTCACAGAATCACTGGGACACAATCTGAGCCAGGCCAGAGCAGAAGATCACAGCCCTCAGRGACAGACACACATGTGCCCAAAAAGGGCACACACACCACGTTCACATTCCTCTGCTCCATGCTGCAAACATGGCTCATCCTAAAAGTGGAACCCCTTCCTGGGAATAAATGCAAATTTGGCTTTCCCAGTGCTCTTTTTCCCGACCYCTAACTAGGATGAGATCCAGAGCCACAGGAAATGAAAGGTCTCACAGCTCACATCCCTTCTGCATTGCCTGGACTAGATTTGGTCTTTCTTCTCCAGAAATTGCCCCACTGGAACAAGACATGCTTCTGCAGGCTTGCTGGCTCACACGTAGGGCAGCTTAGAAGAGATGAGACACCTTACATTGCACTCATATGCTCTTAAACCATCCCATCTTTCCCATCTGGAAGTGGATTGGGATCAAAATCCTCTTGGGCATAAAACAAAACATTCCCTCCCGACACTGCCAGTTTGTTCCTTCATATTTCTCTGAATGTGGATACACTAAGCTGAGCTAAATGAAGCTGCTAACATGGAAAAGGCTGAAGCAGACAGAGGTAAAATTTTGGAAGGAAGCAGCTTGCACAGTGCTCATTTCATTGCAGAAGCTTCACATAATTTGCTGGGAAGAGGCCGACTCTGCCATGGCACTGTCCCCGCCACCAGCCTTCATCCACCATCTCAATGTGTGTGATTGAGTCATCAGGATCAAAAGAAATCTCATCATCTCCATCTGCAAAAATTGTCAAGAAAAGACAGTCACAATGCAAAGAGAACCCCAGAGAGAGCTGGTTCACATTCTTCCTCCCACCTCCCCCAGGTAGGAGAAGACAGAACAAGGACTCTGATAATCCCCAAGAGTTTACCTCACCCAAGCCCCATTCCAACAGCACAGACAAGCAGAGAAAGAGCAAGACCTCACAAGTGAAAGATGAAGTTTCTCTGTTCCTGTCCTGGTTTGGGCCAGGACAAGGCTAATTTTTTACGGTAGCTGGGAGGGGCCATGGCCAAGACACTGAGGTTATTCTGTACCACCTCATGTCATTGCCAGGGGTGGGGGAAAGAGACAGTTCCAAGGAAGGCGGGGTTCCTTCTGGTTGAGAAAATGTGGTGGAGGGAGCCATGCAATCTTGTCTATTGTTGGGTGTTTTTCCATGTGAATAATTCTTATATCTCTTGTTATTTACATTGTTGTTGCTACTGTTCCCCTTTTTATTGCTGTTTCCAGTAAACAGCTCTTACCTCAACTTGTGGTCTTTGCCCTTTAGTGCCTCCAGTTGGAGACGGGTAGTGACAAATATTTTTTTTTTACTGGGAGTACTAACTTAGAGAATACCATTCCTAAACCACGACAGCTCCCAAGCCAGGTCTCATTCTGCTTCCCAGGAGGATGAAATTTAAACCTCCAAGTCAACAGTCTTTTCCCCAGTGCTGACGTGGTGAACCCCTACCTTCCCGTTGCACAGCCCTGGCAACACCCCTAGGCCCTGATGGCAGACCTACCTCCTTGGTAATCGTAGAGAGCCACCGCACAGATCCCCGAGTTCTGCCCCTCASAAATTCTGTCCATGTTCTCTGCAGAACACAGGACACACAGATGAGACAGGGGCTGAAGCAGCCACACAGTCCTGGTCAGTACCAGCTTTGGACAAGCACATCCAAACCCTCTCAACCAGGACAGATTGGACCACAGCTCAAAGCGAGGTGTGACTTCCCTCCCCTTCTTCAAGGGAGAGCTGGGTCTCGATCTTTCTCGCAAGAAAAAGGCTGGGCGTAACTCCAGCCTCTTCACTTGCCAGGTCCAGTACCTGCAAAGGTGCCATGGAAGAACCGACAGAGGCTCCTGTGCTTGGACAAAGGCTACCTGCACTCCTCACACCACGCCACTCCACCCGACCAGGCCTTGGGAACACCAGCCACGTGGGGAATGGGCTGAACCAGAGGCACCCCCAGGTCTCAGTGAAGCACTGGCAGTGGCTTGCCATGAAACAGCAGYAAGAGCATTGATCCAGCTTCTCCTGAGCCTGTGGCAGCCTGCTGCCCAGATCCTGATCCAGCAGATTCCTGCTGTCTGGTCCAGTGCTCCATGCAGCTCATCTGCACTTTAGAGATGGGCAGGGGAGTGGGACACAACCAAGTCTCCATCATCAGGACCTGCTACCCCGTCCACAGTAGACTTCAGGATAAAAATTCCCTCTGGACTTTGTCCCATACATCTAGTGAGGTGAGTGCACAGGTACAAGCTCCCCAAGACATGGACCCTTCCATCARTACTCACCCAGGTTGGGCTGGTTTTCTCTGGGCTCCTGAGCAAGGATCACCTCATAGTCTTCACCTCCATCTCCTCCAAAGTCATAGGTGGCATCCAGCTTTCCTGGTGGGGCTGGCAGCTCCTCATAGTCAGCACCTCCACTGGTACTGTCACAGTAGTCAGAGGGCTCTGGCAGCTCCTCATAGTCTCCACCAACATCCAAACTTATACTGCAGATGGGCTGACCGTGGCTGGGGACCTTGCACAGCTCTGCATCCAGATCTGCAGGCCTTGGTGGCAAAGTCGGTGGTACCTCTTCATCCTCCCTTTTGGCCTCCTGCCATCAGGTGAGAAAGTGACAGGGAAGTCACCTGCAAAGCACCCACCACACCTTCCAAAGCACCTTCCCTGACTCCCAGCAGCAGACACAAGGCAGCCCTTTACTGCTGCCAGGGCACAAATGGAGCATCATCCCCTGCACRCGGGGGAAACAGCTGAGCTACCTGGGCCATGCTGAAAGAGCACATGGGATTGCTCTGGAGACCCTCMGGGCTCACGTGTTTGAACTCTGCTCATACTTCACTACAGCCCATGGTACTGCCACCGCACTGACCCCCTCCCAGAGCTTGTCTCATGGGGCCAGGCACTATGCGCTCCCATCCCCATCCCAGTGCTCCCCATTATATTTYCAAGGCCTCTCACACACAGTGGTTGCGCTCCACACCTTCCTGCAGGGCTGCCCATAAAGCACAGCCCCTCTCAGGTGCAATCCCCTCTGCTTGCTCCCCTTCCCAGCTCTCCCAGGCTGCCTTGGCACCTGCTCTCCTGGTGACACGGGCCGATCTCCAGCAGCACTCCTGGGTACCCTTGCTGGCACAGCTGGAGGGTCTGCCCCAGTGTATTCCTTCTCTCTTGGTGGAACTTTCTGCCAGAGAAAAGCCATCAGACTGCACAACCCCTTGAATGAGCCCAGAACAATGGCTGTTCACATTCCTTCACATTCCCAACAGAGCAACTCAGAACATTTTCCTCCACCTACAAACCTGCTCTGGGCCTGGGCACTCACAGGATGGTGACAACAGTGGGGCAGCCCTGAAAAGCAGCTCGGGGGGGCTTCACTGTTAACACCCCTCTGCCCTCTGAGTGCAGGAAGAGCACCAGGTGGGAAGGTAGATGAACACAGGGGCTGGGTACCATCTCCAGTTTGCTGGGATGCATCCCACATACAGACTGCTGGGAGGGCAGTGCTGGGGAGCAGTAACCACACCATTTGCCAGGCAGGTAAAAAGAGGTGAAGCTAAAGCACAGGGGCCTGGCTGGGTGCAGGTATGTCCAGATCTGTGCACTGAAAAGGGAAGTCCAGTGACAACTGTGAAGCTTAGTGGCCATTCCTGGCAGATGCAGAGAAGCAGTTTAGGCAGGAGGTTACCTTCAAGAGACCAGAGAGAAGAACTTAGAGCTGCATGGCTCTGAGGAACAGTCTCTCATGAGCCTTGGAGTACACAGCAAGATGGCCTTGGCTCACCTGCTGCCGTGCCTCCTGGTGCTCCCGGGCCTGCCTTCTGCTGTCCTCCTCTGCCAACTTGGCCATGTGCTCAAACCGTGACCGCAGGCTGCTGGTGCCACTGGAGGCTCCTGTGAGGAGACAGCTGACTGACCCAGCMCTATGTCTTCCTTCTACCAGCCCAAGCATCCAGATCCTGGCCTCTACCACTTCCAGAGAACCTTGCAGTTCAGGCACCTTCTCCCGCCCTCCAGTACAGGTTAAATCCCCATCCCACCACAGCACACGGCAGCCAGCATTCTGCCRTGGAAGGACTGTGAGGCCCACAGCTTCCTAAGCCCAGGGCTGGTACTCAGGTGTCTCACCTGCTTCCAGGGGTCTTGTTTTCTCATAGGAGGAAGTGGGAGCTGCCATCTCATCAAAGCCAGCAGCGCTCTGCAAGAGGAAGTGAAAGAATTGTTCAGCTTGTTGGGCAAGGCCAGTGCTGTGTTTGGGTACTGGTGACGGCAAGCTTTGCTCCCAGATGTGTTTATCCTCGCCTGTACAGTTGCCCTGGCCCAGGGGAAGCTGTTGGCTGCAGTCCCCTCTCCTGACACCTCCCTGCCCTGGGGATGCCCCTGTTGCCCCCCTGCCAAAGACAGAGGTGTCCCTCCCAAGAGGTGGCACTGAGAGTTGGAAAGACGCTGTGGAGCCCAGCGGGGGAGGGTGAGCAGTGGCACAGGACAGCAGGGCTGGGGACACTCCCTGTGCCACGGCAAAGAGCCTGGGGGATGCCTGGCAGGATGCCTGCCATCTGCCTCTTCCCCAGGCCCAGGGACCTTGTGCATGTGTCCCCGCACTGCCAGTGGCATGAGGCCTGAAAACACTTCCCTGCTGGCGGCACTGCTGCCTCACGTGCGGTGCGTGATCTGCAGTGGCACCTGTGTGTGAACACCGGCGGCATCCCTGGCCTCAGAAGGTATGGAGAGATGCTGAACTGGGAGTAATATGGGTGGGGAGGCTGCAGGAGAACCAGAGCGAGATACAGAGGGCTTAAGGGTTTACCTGTTTTAATGAGAAAACTACTTCATGCAAACAGGAACCAGCAGGTAGGACTCACTTTTCAGCCTGACACTTTACACCAGGGGCTGCCTGCAGGTGTCACAAGAGGCTGGTGGCCGATTGCCACCTGCATCCTGCTTCCCAAATGACSCACAGCCCTTTTACCAAGTCCTCACCTGCTTTTGACCAGCTACAAGACCTGCCTTTTTGYCAATGCCCCTCCATTTGCTGTTGTTAAATTCACAGATAGTGCTAATCTCTTCAGCGGGCAGGACAACATTCCCTCTCTGTTGCTAGCCCAGCCCACACATGCAACATGGACAGGACCACTGTGGGTTGTTTCAGTGCGTTTGCATCCTCCCCTGCTTGCTCGAGCTCTTGAGTACCGTGACCTTGGTGCTATGTCAGGCACAGCACCGTGCCCCACAGCAGGAAAAGTAGTTTTCAGGAAAGGCTCCCTCACTGCCTTTTCCAAAAGCCCCAAAGTTCACATCTTTTAGGCTATCCATGTCTATGCAGATCATCACCCACTGGCAGAACCCCCTTCACTGGCCAAGCCTTCAGAGCAGCCTGCCAAGCATGGAAATTCATCCCAGTGCCTCAGTGTGAGTTGTGACTGTAGATGAGACTTTCCCGGTGTCAGCCCAAACAGAAAACCTGAACCAGCCAACTGGGTGACCGCTTCTCATGCACGGCAGATGATCTGTGCCAATCCCATCCCTGCTGGGATTTGTCAACCTGTGCAGAAAGATTTAGTACCTGAACAGACCTTGAGGCACTCTGGTAGGAGTGAAAAACCTGCAGAAGGTAACAAACAGCAGGGAAGTGCGGAGTTACGGACAATGCCATGAGGAATTCCCTGCATTACAGTCTCCCCAGGCTGCATCTCTCTGCACCTTCTGGTATCTTACACTGGGCCAGTTTCCTCTTGCCACAGCTGTGCACTGAGCACTGGGATCTCACCTCCACCTAGGGAATCTCTTCTCTTCCAGCTGGGCAAAAAGCAGTGACTAGGAGGAAACAACTGCAGCCTGCAGCAGATTTACCTTATCCACTCTATCCTTCTCGACCCCATAACGGCCTCCAAACCCCTTGGCACAGTCTGCATGGAAAAAAAAGATATTTTACGGTATTTTATAGTCTGTGTGTACCTCTGACCTCAGTATGCTATAACCAGTGAAATGAGTTTGCATGTGTTATCTCTAGTTAGTTCCATATATGATGAGACACAGATAAAGCTAAATGCTCTGGACAATAGATTTTAGGACTAATCCCTCCCTCCTCCTTTCAGCTGAGGGCACAGGTGTGCAGGGCTGTAGCTGCCAAACCTGAGTCCAAGGCACCTGGGTGAGAGGCCAGGTACCCCACCTGAGAGGAGTGTGGCCTTGTTCAGTGAAGTCAAACACCCAAGGCCTTCCTGGGATCAGCTCTGCCTCACTCCTCTGTGCTCACCTTTACAATGAGCTTATGGTCAGGAATGTCCCAGCCCCCAGAGAAAGCACAGCAGAGCCTGGGAATCCTGATTCAGGGACTCACATTCCATGTCCCCCACTGATCCAAGCACACATTTTGCCCTTCTGCTTTGGGGTTCATTGTGTCTCAGCTGCTCTGCAACATGCTGGACACATTCTGCTTTCAGCAGCTGGATCTCTTACTATAAATCACAAGCTCCAGGTCTGTGTGTGCTCCAAGGTGGCTACCACCTCTGCCAACACCATCTGACCTGTTTGGGATGCGTGGGGTTGCACTTTCTCCTGATGGTCCCAGCCAAGGGCATTCTTGTCCTGACGATCCCTCTGGACTCCAAACTTCCCACCAAAGCCCACAGAATAGTCTTCAGCCACAGGGATCCAGATCAGGGCATGGAAGAGAACAGAAAAGGGAGGGAAGGAGACAAGAGGCAGCAGTGTGAGTTCAGGCTGTACTCACAGGTCTTCTGTGCCCAGGGCTTAGAGAAAGACATGGAACAAGGCCAGACTACCCCACTGGTGCTACAGCAACAGCCCTCCCTCCTCCTGGGATATGTCACCTGCTATTAGCACATGCCTGGTCTTCCCCTTCACTCTTCCTTTGGTGCTGTCCAAGCCACCCTTATGCCCATAGAACTCATCTGCTCCTCTTCCTTTAGCCTGAACTCTTTCCAGCAGCCAGGCAATGGCTGTGCAATGGCTTTTCTCACCTGACCCACGCCCTTGCTATAAGCATTGCACATCCAACAGCTCCCTGTAGCTCTTCCACCATTCATGCAGAAGATTGCAAAAGCCCTGCACGGTGCCCCATAGTCCCAGTGGGCACAGTCCCAGCCCCAACCTGGACTCTGCCTGCTCCCCCAGCCCCTCCAGCTCCCCCAGTTTTCCCTGCTCCCCTAGATCTCCCACCTCACCCAGCTTCCCCAGCTCACCTGGCTGCTGTGGCTCACCTTTTTGAGAGTCATGCTTCTCTGCCTGGCTCTTGTAGTCAAATCCCACAGCTGCTTTGTCCACCTTATCCCTTTCCACTCCATAACGCCCACCAAAGCCCTTGGAGTAATCTGAGGTGGTTTATGGAGTCAAATGCTGCCCCAGCACGGGGTTGGTTAGGARAGGATGGGGAAGGGAAGGGCCACCAAGGAGAAGGAACAGCAGCAGGAATTATGGAAAACGTCATAAAAAGTGAAGGGTGGGAGGGGTCAGAGAGGATGGCAGGGAGGATGAGAGCCCCTAGGAATGGGGGCACAAGGCAAACGTGGCACCAGGAGACAAGGCAGGTCAGGAGGAAAGGAAGATAACGGATGTGCCCAAGACAGTGGGAGGACAGTCATATACAAAGATAATGCCAAGCAGACCTTGGGCTCTGACAGCTGGGGCATCACTCTCTCACCTACCACCCAGAGCCAGGATTTCAGCCAGCCTTGAGAAAGGGCTGTGAGTATGTACACTGAGACTTGGAAGTACAGGAATGGCAAAAGGGCTTAAGTTTGCTACAGTGGAATCTCAGCTTCCACAAGGAAGTGCTTGASCCTGGGGACTGCCCCCAAGGCTGAACTCCCCTTCCTGCAGACACGCTGCCACTTGTCACTGCTCCATTGGCCAGAGTGTCAGCACAGCACAGCAGCCTGGTGCTTCTCCTTTTTCCATCTCCAAACTAATGATCCATTAACGACTTCAATCCTGTTCAGGTGCTTTCTAAGGACCACCTGATTACTACTGGCTGATTCTTGAGACACTTCAGCCTCCATCCTGACTCCTGGATGTTCAGACTCCTCCTTTCAGACCAGCCGGCTCATCTCCAAATCCTGCCCTTCAGGAGTAAATCAGAGTCACCTCGCCCCGTTCCCTTGTGCCCTGTTCTCACCAGTCTGCATTTCATGGGACTGAGTTGAGGCTTCTCGAACAACAGCAGCTGTACCAGTCCATGGAGGCTGTGATCTAGAGAAATATGCATAACATTTTGCATTCCAGGATGGATGTCTATTTTATATACGTTCCATCACTTAATCTGTAAGTCCTAAAAATTCTTAAACTTATGGTGATTAAACTATTATCGACCCACGGGGTGGTTATGAAATTGATCTTTAAGAGAGCTGTTTCCGGTAAACACAGATTTTATGACTGTTACCTTGCTGCTGGAGCTTCCAGTATGGACAGGTTTTTACGAAAAGCTACCTAAACAYCCTATTTCTGAATTTGCATTTCCTGAGCAATTTCTGTGGTTTCACACAGCCTGATGAATTTCTATGTTTACAAGAATATGTTAATGTAGCACAAATGCATGTGATCCATTATTTTAAGATGAACCAAAAATGCCTCAAACTATTTTCCTTCTTTTATAGTTTCTTCTTAAACAAATCTGATTCAGTTCTTTCCTTGCAAATGCAGTATTCTTCACATTTATCTGAAACAGCAACAGACTATGCTCTTTCACCTTCTCTTGGGAGCATAACATTTAAAATACCCTTAGTTTCAATTTTTGCACTGTTTTTTGAATTATCTGGAGAATTCTGCAATAGTTTGGATATTCTATAGGGCTCTGTTTCCATGCCCATTGCTGTGCCTCTTCCTACAGGGCTGCTTTACCAGCAATCACTTCTCAAGTGCTACTGTGCTCAGGCTTCCTCTGGAACAGGTCTAAGAATGGCTTTGAGCGAACAGAAAGCACCGGCCATCCATCACAGGGTGGGAGTGTCTCCTTTGCTCAGTCAGGATGAGCAAAGCACAGAGACAAACAGGATGTACAGTATGAGGATGGTGACAGGACAGCAGGGAATGGGGCCACAGGGATGGATCTGAACAGGAATCTGAAACAGGTGACAGGAGACAACAGCACGGGACACCRGGAGCAGAAGAGAAGCTCGGCAAAGGGTCAAAGGGCCACACGTGCCCACGGACTTGCCTTTCTGGGATGAGTGTTTCTCCACCTCACCCTTGTATTCAAAGCCCAGTGCTGACTGGAACAAGAGGGGGAGGAATGTCAGTCATCCTGAGGGCCAGGACGGGTCTCAGCCTCCCTCCCCTGTGCCATGCTCCATCTTGGCCTGCAGAATGCAGGGGCAAACACCACGGTCCCCCAGGATGAACACCACAGGCCAACAAACAGGGTTCTGCCTGGATGGGACAGGCCCTCCACAGGTGAGCTGTGCTTCAGCAAGGCCATGGCCCACGGCACACCCTGCATGCCCCAGGCTTTGAAAATTAATCCACAACCTGGCATGCAGCAGTGCTTTAGGGGCAGCACAGGCCACAGGAACATATTTCAGCTGCACTCTCTGACGCACCTTGTCTGCTCGGTCCTGCTGGACTCCAAACTTGCCACCAAAGCCCTGGGCTGCATCTGTCTGGGASGAGTGCTTCCCAACATCAGCGATGTATTCGTGTCCTACTGCGCACTGAGAGGAGAGACAGTGTCACCTGAGCACCCACGGTGGACAGAAAGAAGCGGCACAGCTGCTCCAACATGCTGCTGACACGCTGGCAGCCACAGGGTCACAGATGTGAGCTGACCCTGCTGGTGGTGGCCGTGCCCTCCGCAAGGGCTGTCATCTCACAAACAGTCCCCACAGCCAGCTCACTAAGCAAAGGTGGGATGCTGCTCTCAAGTGCTCGTGGAGTTGCATGGTGGGTTATCACAGGGGAAATGAGAGAAAAGTGCRGACAGACACACAGAGCTGAGAACTCCAGGAAGAGACCTGACACCCACTCCCTGTTTCTGTATCTGATAGTGAGGGCCAGCAAACCTGGCCACAGGCCAGGCCAGGATCCTGCTCTCCCTGCTGGAGATGCTGTGGCCAGGAACCACAGACACTCTATGCCAAAATGGAGCAGCTGTGCTCAGACTGCTGGACCAGACTGAGGGCGTTCTTGTTGAGCAACTTCTTGGCCTTTGTCCAGTTTCACCACGATGCTTCAAGTGTTCAGCTTCTGCCCCTTCTCCTGAGGAGTGTGTGCAGTTCCTGACTACCACACCTCTGGCTGGGAGAGGAGGGAATTTTTCAGGACAGTCTGTTTCTCACCCTGCCATTCTAGTATTATTCGATCCCACAGTGACCACATCTACTAAACTCTACTGCAATCTAATCCTCTCCCTTCTGAAAAAGAAGCGTTAAATGCTGAAATGTGCAGGAAGAAACATGATGATAATGATTATCACAAAACATAGACCAGATCTGATGTCTGGGGCTTTATCTCAAGGAGATAAAAGATCTGTAATGCAGAATGCGAGGAGGGAATTATACATTAGCTCTCCAAACACAAGTAGGGTGGCACCAGATTTAATTGCTACGCAGCAGGTTTAAACAACCACAGAAAGTCCTTCACAGCTAAGGGCAGCACTGCAAAGACATTGTAGAGAAGAGTTAAATAAATTAATTCAAACAGATCCTGGAGACAGATTATGGGCTAGCTGGACATGTGTGCATCAGTGCAGCCATGCAAACTCTCAATTCCCTCCCTTCAGGGTCGGGCCAGAAAACAGGGCTGCCCCTTCCTTTATCAGAAAAGCACTTTTCCACTGAGGCCTCATGGAAGACTCCAACAGCTGTTACCTTATCCATTCGGTCTCGCTCTGTTCCAAATTTGCCCCCATAGCCATAGGATGCCTTGGGGCCAGTCTCCAGCTCCTTCTTCTTGATGACCTCGTGTTCCTCTGATACCTTGCTCCTCAGCTGATGGATACTGGAGACAGAGACAGGGCAGCTCAGCGTGGGGTTTTGCAAAGCCGTGCGGGCAGCCGGAGCACGGCTGCGTCCCTGCACCAGCCAAGGCCCCGCACACAGCAGGACAAACACGCAGGAGCAGCTGCCACCGCGCTGTGCCTGAGAAGAAACCCCGCGGTCTGGCAAAGGACCGGCGTCATGGGCTCAGGGGGAACATCCAGCCTCCGCTCCTGCACCCCGTTCAGGGCTACAGCCCGCCTTTCTCGGGACCCCACGCGTTCCTTTTCCTGCGTGCTGCAGCGGACACGCCGCAGGGCTGCGCTGGGCTGTCCCGAGGGAGCGGCTGCCGTGGGCCAGCCCCGGGCAGGGAAGGAGCTGAATGAAGCCTTTGCAGCGGGCCGGCCGCGTGTGCGGACATTCATCCGGCCGCTGCTCCTCCGCAGCAATCGGGGCGGACCCCGCTGCCGGGCGGCACCCGAGGAAGGAGCCGCGGAACAGGGTCCGAGTCGGTGCCCGCCCCGTCGGGAGAGCCCTCCCCGCCGTAAACCAGCCCTTATGTGGCCGGTGCCCGCGGCGGGACGACCCGCAGAGCCGGTCCCCAACCCCGGCAGGGCTCGTTATTTCCCTGCAGGGCCGGTTCCCCGCGTCCCCCGGTCCCGGCTCGTCCTGCCGCACTCACTCGATGTGCCCGGCGCGGCCGGAGCCCTCGATGCTTTTGGCTCCCCATCGTTGCTCCCGCTCGGAGATGTCGTTCTGCAGRGCGAACCGCGGCCGTCAGCCCCCGGCCCCGCACGGGGCTCGGTGCCGCTCGGTCGGACCAGGCAACAACCAGGATCTCGTCACCTCGTCCCCGCCCGCCGCCGACGCCCCGGAGGACAGCGCCGGGCAGTGCTGGGGTCTCCGACTCGCCCCGCAGAGCCGAGGTGACACCAGTTCTGCAGAGCTGCGGAATTCGCTCTTTGGGAAAAGGCTGGAGAAACTGCAGTGACCCCGGGCTTGGCTATCACAGCCTTTTTTTTTAGTTTTTTTGTGAAAAGTCTGAATATATATTTGACAAAGTGAAGCATCAGTAAAGTCTTTCCTAATATACAATAAAGTTGAAAATAAATAAATAAATAAATATGAAATAGAATATATATATATATATATATATATGAGAAATAGAATGAAAAAAATAATACAAAGCCTTATTCTGTTCAGGCTTAGTTTGAATGCTTCCACAAATAGAAGAAATTAAATAAGCAAAAAGAAGAAAAAAAGAGTGTGGATTTTCCTAAAACATTAATAACTTGAAACTAGGAGAAAGGAGTTTGCTTTTCTGTCCCAAACTAGATTTCTTTTTACTGGAAATAACTAGGCAAGACTGAACCTCGAAAACACAGGACTCTTGTCTAACAGGAGAGGCTTATTAGGAAAGTCATAGAGAACCAAATGGAAAATGAAAATCATGACCCGGTATGATTGCAGAGGATTCCCCAGGCCAAGCCCTTCTGCTCTCTCACCAGCTAACTCAGACTTTGACTAGACAGAAAACAAGAGTATAAGAGGCAAAGGGCTGCACCTGCACAAGTTGACTGTAAATAGAGTAGGATTTTCCATCTGGAAAAAAGATAAATGAGGGAAATCCTGGATCCTGTACAGTTACAAACAGTGTGGGACAGAGAAAACATGTTTGCTGTGTCTTGTAACATGTTGTGAGGAAGACAAAGGAAATTACCAGGGAGCAGGTTTAAAAAAATCGGCATATTCTGTACTCCTTAAATAAGTGTCACTACTTGTGGTCAGACACGGGGGGGTGAGGGGGTGTGTGTGCACACTGATGGAGAAAGTTCTGGGGACTAAACCTGGATACGGGTCAGAAGTGGCTCAGGTGATCTGACAGTACCTGCAAGGGGCTGGTGGAACTCAGCTGATTCTGCCCTGCCCGCGGTGCTGCAGGCCATGCTGAGCCCTGAGCCCCAGCCCAGCTGAGCAGCAAGTCCAGGGCCAGCAGCTCTGCACACCAGCAGGATAACAGCACAGCAGACACTCACCACGAAATCAGGGTCCGTGTCCCAGTCATCTCCCCGAGCCTCCACCTTCACTGACACGTTGTGTCCCACAGCTGCTTTCCACATCTGCACAACAAGGACATGGTGTTGCCCAGGGTGGCCACAGCTGGCTCACACCCAGTCACAACAGAACTTGGGCTGAAACCGGCCCTTAAAGGCCRCCTGTCCTCATACATCTGTCCCTCATACAGCACTGGGCACCCCAAAATAGCTGCTCGTGAGCCTCAGCAATCTTACAACAAAACACACAKGGCGTGTAGGTGTAAACCACAGTCTTCATGCACCCTCACTTTGCAGTTAGAGAACACACCTTTTTATAATGTAAATGAGTGCTGACATCCAATCACCAGATTGTTTTTCCAACACACATTAATTTTCTGTGCAGTGGGAGGCTGTTCCATGTGTTAATGCCCCTATTAGACAGTCACACACACAGCTATGGCATGCTCCAACCCTGACACTGTGATCCTAGCACTGAAGTGGACTCCTCAAGCCTCTTGTCTGATTTTCAATCTTTCAATCCCTTCCCAGTAGCCAGAGAAGGGTTAGAGCAAGGGCTGGACACTGCTGATGCTGCATGGTATTCATGTCTGCCATGTGGAGAAAACAGGAAACAAGGCTAAAAGCACAGAGGGTGTAGGGCTAAACTGGCTGAGGCTGTGGTGGAACTGCTCCTCCAGGCCTGGAGGAAGTGGTGGGCCCAGGAAGAGGAAGTTAAAAGTAATGTGTAATCTAAAACCCCTGCATTTAATTTTCAAGGTGACCTTGAAAAAGAAAGATGATGAACAAGTTTCCTCCAAGCTGAAATTTTACAAAACAGGAGAGAAACGATGAGTTGGCTGCCCATACACCCCAGAGCAATCACTCTCATCAGAGCCCCCACGCTTCATATCCCACCCCCTTTACTGCCTGCATTGTTGAGGAACCCAAAGCTGTTCTCTGTGTTGCTCAAAGCAGCTTTCCCATGGGGCAGTGAAAAAGATGGAAAAAGACTGTGCAGAAAAGACTGAGTTGAGCCCTATTCTCCATCACACCAAACTGTGACCCAATCAACAGGAAGGAAGAGACCTCCTGTGTGCTGGCTCCTCAGTTAACAGCACATTTATCATGTGCTGCTCAGCTGTGTTAACCCCTCACTCCCACAGCTGTATGGAAACCTCAGACAGCCCTGAACACTTGGGAAAGTTGCACTCTGTGCAAGCAAAATTTTTATGCTGAGTAATTGACTCTCTGTGTATGGTAATTAACTGTCCCATATCAAAAGCTGTTTAAGTGGATAACCTTCTGGTTTAGTGCAGTGCACTGCTCAGTTTCAAGCTGTCCTCTCCAGAGAACCAGCACTGTTAAGACTGGGGAGCGAAGAGAACRGAAACCAAATGAGCACAGCAGAGATGATTCTTTCTTTTCTTAAACAAAGGCCAGGTACGGGAGATGAAGGACTAAGGCAGATATACAGTGAAGACCTGGTTTTAGGCCTTCTCCAGGTGCCTTAGGACCACAGCAATTCTGAGACATTCCCCACTGACAGCAATCTGGTGCCAAACTGAATACAGCYAATTGCAATTAGAAGCAGGGGAAGCAGGAAGTCTCACATGGACAACACAGCCCAATCTAACACCAGCTTTCCTTTTCCCCTCCTGAATTTATTGGCATATCTCACACCAAAGACTTAAAAGTTTATTGCTCATTTTTGTAAAGCATAAACCAGCAGCAATAACCAGCTAGCACAAAGCTGCTCATCATCAGGGCTGCTGATCTGAGGTCGGATAAGATGGTTCAAGGTTTTAAATGCTGCTGTAAATGGTTTTTGACCACCCATTCTCCAAAGCCACCTGCCATGCATTGTGGGAACCATGACAAGCTACAGACTGTAATTGCATCACGAGGCTCTGAATACTGACTATATGAGAAACACCAGTCAGGGTAGCATCTCATCCTGGTTTTTGTCCCATTTCCCCCTGGGAAAACATCCACTACAGCACAAATGTAGGTCTACCACATGGCACAGTCATGCTGGTGGATTTGGAAAYGTGGTTCTTTAGAATCTCAAACATAAGAACAACGATAACAGGACAACAGCCTGAGAAGCAAATGCTGTGCATTATCCACTTAAACATGCATGGTCAAGGAGTTCTCTCTGCCCATCAAACACTACACCTTTTTGTAGTCATTTCACACTTTCCCCTCCCAAAACTCAGTCAAGTTTTCTTACCTTTAAAGGCTCACCAGTTCCTGCTGGCAAACTTGCTTTTTGCTCAGGCACCTGCTGCCAGCGACAGCTTTGGGTTCGTGTTCGCTCCGAGTTCCTGTTTTAACCTCAGCTCTTTTCACTTCCTGTATCCCAGCCCCCATCTCTGCTCAAGTCACGAGTCCCAGAACTGGTCCCAGTGCTGCAGTTGCCCTGCTGGCTGCCTCTGCTCTGAGACACCAACACAATGCAGACCCAGCAGTTCCCCAGTTCCCCCATCAGGTCCCAGAACCAGAGTGGGCCCAGTCCACCAAAGGCTGCACTGAACTTTGTCGTCTGGTGGCATCCCCATTTCAGCTCCTGAGAGGCAAAAAACGCTCCTGAAAAGAGTCCCGCACTTCGATGCTTTCATTCTGTTCACGAGCGACTCACCTGTGACTTGCACTGCTCTGTTGTTTCTCCTCAGCACTGGGAGAACTACAACCATCACACAAGGCAGCACACACACAAGAGATCTGCAGTCCCACCATGTCCCACACAAGCTGCAGTGATGCAGCAGCACTACATCCTCCAATKCAACAGTAACATGACAACATTACACAAATTCCATCTGAAAAATAAACTTTATTATACATACAGGAGCTCATACCTCAGGAAGCTATAGACAAACTATTTGGTCACTGAATTTTATGTAGCTGGAGGAAGTTCACGCTGATAAACATGGACAGTATAGAAATAGATATATAGTGCCAGTGCTCTGGACCTGCCAGAGATCCAGCTGGTTTAGCTACCAGTGAAATCAATCCTCAAACATGCTTTTTGCACTGGCAAGAGCAGCTTAATTTACCAGCAATATTAAAAGAACTACCTCTTTCCCATGGGAAAAATGCAACTGTTAGTACTCTTAGTACTAAGAGGCAGATACAATTCTCCTGGCTCGTACTCTGAATGAAACAACCACTCAGGATCTGACAGTGAATGTGACTGCAACTTCCTTTGCATTCAACATTCTACTTTTGGAAGAGGGCAGGCTCAAATTCAGGAGGTCTTTAGAAAACATATGGAAATACATCCATATTTCCATATATTCTAAAAGATTCACTCCATTTGCATCATTTGATTTGGGTCCAAACATATCCAAACACCAGCAGCAGCTTTCTACAGACACCAGAAGTTTTCAGAACTCTGGACCCTTCCTCAGCACATTATTTCCGGAGTTTCTGCCTTTGCTTTGGGCCCACAAAGCACATTATGGACCCCTTCAACACAGCCAGTGCAGGTTCAGTCTCATGACAAGTGTTCAGTGGATGAAAAGGCAGGAGCAGGACTGCTCTCATTTCTAGAGGTAGGGCAGCACCTTCCACCACGAGAGGTGCACAAATGCTATAAATAAGAAGGTTTTAAACTTAAGAGCTAATAAGTTTCATGTTTCCTATTCCTTTTAAATAACGAAAGTACTGGCATTATTTTGCAGGCTTGTCAGGGCAGAGATATGACTGATTCCAAATGGAATGCTCACCAGGGCCAGATACACTAATCTTGGCCTTTCTTCAACAGGCAGTGCAACTGACCAGAAAACACGATTTTAAGATTCACATTCCTTAAAGTGCCCATCACTTCCTTAGGATATGCATTTCAGACAGCACTGAGCCACGGAGCAAATCTGAAGGGTGGAAGAAAAGGAAGACAATTCTTTTTCTTAGATCCACCTACAGTGTTCTCCCAACCCCACTCATGGATTCAACCTAAGAGGAAGAAGATTCTGCAGTTTCAGAAGTGCCGAAGTACTGCAGCCACTCAAGAGAATTTTTCTTATTCCTACAGCAGCATGATACTATTTAAAATGAATGGTACTACTCCCAGGTACAGGAACAGATGCTGTCCTTGAGGCATGCAGCACAACCCTGGCTCAGAAAACAAACCACTCATGTAGAAACACCAAGGGAATGGCAGGTCTCCCGGGAACAGCTCCCCAGCACCAGCGCCGACTCTGATAGCAGCACCCAGGTGCTGAGTGCAGCTGCTGCTTCAGGGCTGMTTTGGGAAAGAAGGCAGCTGGGAGAAATGCTGCCCTTCTACAAGGGCCTGCCAGCCCTTGACACGCACAGGGCCCAGGCTCGATAAAAAGCTGTCACTCCTGCTCACAGGTGGCCTGTAAAGCACAGGAAGAGCAGGACATGGAGAGCAAGCAGATACATGGCCACTAGCAGAGGCAAGTGGGTCCGGGAGCGGAAGAGAGAGCGTAACAGGCGTCGTAGTCCAAAAGCATTCCGTGTCTGGAAGAATAAAGAAAAGAGAGAGCAGTCACTACAAGGAATGGCTGTGTCCCCAGCTGCCCTCATGCAGGGCTCTCCAGACCATGGAGAAAAGTTTGTTCAAGCTAATGAGCATAAACCTTCCCAAAATCATTCCACTGTCAGATCCTGACATTAGGGCACTCCTCATGAAAAGTTCCTCTTCCCCTGCTCTCTGCAGGTTTTCCATGAACCACCCCCATCCAATTCTGTTTCCAGCACGGCAAAAGCTGAAAAACAGTCCCTGATCAATTTATGTGTGTCTACAGAGGGATTTAATTACTGTAGGTTCACAGTTTCTTGAATTAGTTAGGGCTCATACAGTTGACAGCTGGGAATATTAAATTCTTACTCTGCTGGAATTATTATCCATGGAGTCGATCAGCAAGGACTGCTCATGACCTGGAGTCATATCAATGCTGGCACTTAGGGGAGACGCCCACTCACTTGACTGCAACCTGCCATAACAAACATGAAATTAAATTCAGTTTCTTCTTACGATGCTGCAAACCAACACTGTAATCAAGCTCAGGAAAGAAGGTATTTCTCCAAAAATGAAGCAAACCCTGGCTTCACTTGCCAAGAGCTGGTTCCATTTGTACAGGTGTCATGCCTCCTGAGCTCACATTGAGCAAAAGAATAGGGTGATCCAACTAGGAGAGGTCCTTYTTCCTTTCAAGTCAAATTTCATAGTGTGACTTGAAAGAAGCCAGGACACATGACAGAACTGTATGTTTTAAACTCTGTGAAATTATTTTGGAAGCCAGCTGTGGCTGTAATAATGCTGGTTCTTGCTAGCTATTTTCTAATGACAGAGGCAGCAGTCATGTCCTGGGGCTACCATTCATTAGTGAGATCAGCTGCAGGAGGTTTTTATAGACTTTAATGCCAGAAGGAGCTACAGTTGTCCAAACCACATAGCAGTTACCAGGGAACGTCATCCAGAATTCTTCCATCCAGACCATTATTTTTTGGGTGAATCAGCAAGTGTGTCAGAAGAAAGCCATTGTTTTAATGTAAAAGACTCCATTAGTCTGTGACTCCAGCTATCTGAACTACCAGGAAATGCACAGCACCAGTGCCTACAATTATGTCATGTGCTAAAACCCCTCTTCATAGCCAATAAGAAGAATCAAGCTACTCACTGCATCCTAATCCCAACATCTAGTCCAGGTCAGCTGCCTTTGCTCTGCTGACTATCAGGGATCTGTCTAGTGCCCCAAGATGCGCAGCATCCCGTGCAGTGCAGAGCACAGTGCTGGACACTGGGGAGGGGGAAGGAGAGGGGTCTAGGCCAAAGCTGAGTCTGGGAAAGGTGGACAAAAACCCTTTTTCCTAAGGATTTAACTGTTTTTCAATAACCAAATGATTTTAAAGTTTATGTTAATTAGCAATACATTGAAAATGAGTGACATTCTTCAAGTTAAAGCTGTTTCATGCATGACGGGCATGTGCTTACTGAAGAGACAAATTCCCTGGACACATGAAAACTCCTCTTTGGCCTGCACCCAATTTCCAATCTCCAAATTGTATTTTCCAGCAGTTAATTTAACTAATTGAGAAAGTTGGCATCTAATTTCTAGACAGAATTTGTCTTAATGTTTAGTAATTTGTCTCATTCTATCTGCCTACAATTGAAGGAACTGAATTTCCTGAACTCTGGGAAACACTTTTTTACAGTAAGCGTGACTGAGCACCACACCAGTTGCCCAGGGAGGTTGTGAAGTCTTCTTTCCTCTGGAGATACTCAACGGACATCTGGACACGTTCCTGGGCAGCTGGGTCTAGGCTGAGCAGGGGGTTGGGCCAGATGGTCTCTGGAGGCCCCTTCCGACCTCAGCCTTTCTGCGATTCTGTGACAGACACGGTAGCTGTCTCTGTGCCCCAACTGCCTTTGACAGAAGGATGTGATGAAGTACAAATGAAAAACAGAGCTAGAACCACCACACTTGTATGGTGATAGTGTTTGCTCAAGCTGCCTCACCTCCTGATCTGATCCTGTGCCGCAAAAAGCGCCTCCTCTGCAGCAAGACGACGATCATGCTCTTCCTCCAGCTGCTCCTCCAAATACTTCATATCCTGCTTTGTGCTGCTATGTAAGTGTTCTGTTTCAGACAACCTGTCAGAAAATAACAAAGCGTATGCCAAAAAGGACCTAATTCATGGACTACYGTGTTTCTACAATATTCACTGATGCAGTTGTGTGAACAGACTCCGATTACCCCCCAGCTCACACAGAAGACTTAATCATCTTTAGTATCTTTAAGTTATTGGGAAAACACGAGATAAGATAAATCTCTTGAAGCTTCTGTTTCACATCAGGAAGGAGTTTCTTGTGTCTATCATCCATGGCTCCACCTTTTGGAAATTATTTTGAAAGGCTATGAGGAACCATGTGCTAGATTTTAGTTTGAGAAGGTTATAAGGAATCCTGTGCTGTGTCTCAATTCCAGACACTCTCAGGCAACAACCTTGAGATCAGGACCATTGATACACTTCAGCAGCTATTGAGGACGCAGCCCACCAGATCCAAGATGCTGGTTTGGCTGGCATTGCTGCTACACGATGTCGCTGTGTTGTTTTGAAGCTCTAATCCAAAGAGATAACAAATGATAGCTGCTAAGTGTATGAAACAGTTCCTCCAAGTCCACAAGATCCTAGCGTGGGACTGAATTTTCCCAACACAGTAGTACAGAGTAGAAACAGTAGGCTCATCCCTAGCCTCAAGACCTCCATCAGGACCAACATCCCCACCCCTATTTCTCAGACTTTCTTTACCTCAGCTGCAGCTCCTGCAGTTCAGGTGTGTAACTGCCTCTCTGCGGCTCATTCTTTTCTTGGGGTGCTCCCGGAGCAGCATCTGTCGCAAAGAGCTCCTGAAAGAAAATAGGAAAGTAATGCAGACTGCACTGAATGAAGAGGACAATCAGCCAACACAATGCTGGACAGTTAGCAGAGCCAGTTAGCTTATTTCACTTGAAATAAGCTTTTCCCTGATGTGCACCAAGCCCAACTCCCTTACCATGCTCTTGTCTACAGCCTGCAGCTCCTGGAGCTGCCTCTCAAGCTCTAGGCAGCGGTTCAGGACCTCAGTGTAGTGCTGATGGTTCACACAGGTGCTCCGACTGCTCCCACGCAGCTGGAGGGAGAGGGCGTTTTTCTCCTCAAAGACCTGCGATAGCTGAGAACAAAATCGGCAAGCAAAGAAATTGATTTTGTGAAAGCAAAATTGTTCTCTGTCCAACTGAAGGTAAGAATGCTCTTGAGAACATGTAACTGGCATGCTGTCCGGCACTAAGGTCCAAAGACCAGTGACAATCTCCCAGAGTAGCTTGTAGCAAAGGTTTCTGCAACAGGAGTCTCAAAACATCAAAGTGATGTACAGAATACTACATGTCCAGAGCAAGAATTCTCAAGTGCTGAGGTTGACCTAAACCTTTCAGAAATATCATCAGGACATGATTTTATATTCTCACTTTCTCCTTGAAGGCAACTCTCTAAAGATGCATAAATTCTGGGTCTTCCATTTCAGTGTGGGAATTGATTGTGATTCTGCACTGAAATGCAGAAGTGCTTCAAGCTGACAGGCAGAAGTGAAGATGACAAGCTTGCCTTCCCAAGGAGGGACTTCCTTCAGCAGCCCAGAAAGCAGGAGGATAGAAAGCGCTCCCAACAATAGATGTGGAACCTGCAAACAACTTTGTTCAAGTAATCTCACTCTCTGGCCCCTTTGTATGGTCTTCATCTCCCCCCACCCAACTTCTTTCCCCCACTGTCTCCTCCATCTGTCCTCTTTCCCTGTCTCTCCCCTTCTCTCACCTTTTTTCTTCCCTGTCCCCTTCCCTCCTCCTTTATCCCTTTGCTCACCTGAAAGAAAGGGCACTAAATTTCAGTGTCAGAAAAGCTGCTGATTCAGACCCTGTCACTGAGCCTGCTGGATGGGATCCGCATGGGGCCTGGCTATCTCTCAGGTCCATACTCTACAGCTGTCCCATTTGTGGCTTCTCTCTCCAATGCCCTGGCTCACCTCCGTTACTCACTGAGGGAGAGCAGCCTGGGAGACGGAGGATGGGCTCTAGCGCCGTGCAAGCCCCGTTCAGCAACCGTGAATCCGTAGGTGCGATTCTAACACTGCTTTTTTGAGACATATAGTTACGATTTTGTGTTACTTCACTGAAAACCCACAAAAACAGATTCATTCCTGCTTCCTGAGCTCTGTTCCAGCCTAACCTTCCCCACATTCCTCATCCCTGACTGCAAGCAAGTGTAAGACATGGATCGGTACCTTGTTGTTCAGCTGCTGAATTCTGAGCTCTTTCTGGTGCAATTCTTTCAGACTATCACTTAGCTGGGTTTGGAGGTGTTTCATCTCTGTTTCTAGGCTCGAAAAGTCCCCTTTCAGGATTTCTGGAGAAAACTGCCAAGGAAAGAACAATGAAAAACATACTGCATGTGTGACAACTCACTCTTGTGTTAGCCCTCTCTTTTCAGAATTCCAGGGTCACACCCAACACTATTGCTAGATCTGGAACTTGATCTGCTCGGGCAAAGGAGCAAATGGGGAATAAACAGAAATATCCTAAAAGCCATCTGAAAATCCAAAGTTAGGAAAGATCACCAAACTTGCACGTTTGATGGGTCCTTCTCAGAGGTTGTCTTAAAGCTGTCTACAATACAAGGAGAAAAAAAAAGGCACATGAATGAGAAAAGAAAAAACAAACAAAACCCCAAAGCAATGTCCACACTGCTCTATTCTATCAAGACCAGAAGGCCAGCACTGAAGAATCCTCCTAGAAAGCATCACATGAACACTGCTGGAGTTTCTTCTTTGCATATATGCGTGGGCATATCAAAGGGATAAAGGAGATTTCCTACCCCCTCCACTGGCATAAACCACTGGAACCACTGCAGACATCAGTGCAAGAGCTCTCCCTTGGCTCTGATGCACCACACTGTGCACACAGCCTTCCCTAGACCAACAAAACATCAAACAAATATTCCACTCCACTTTTAGGACCGTGTACAGGGGCAGTAAGAGAGGAGGCGCAGTGTTCAAGCCTCAGCCTCTCTGGGCTTGAACCAGGATTGTAGACCACTGTTACAGTAAAAACAGCTAGAAAATTTCAATAGAAAACTTAAAAAATAAGATGTGACATTAAAATGAGAACTAAGCCAAAAAATCTGAGCTTTAAAGACAGTGCAAGGGGGCAAGTCTAGAACAGCCAGAATATATACCTGAGAAGCTCCATGGCAGCCCCCTCTTACCTCTTTCCCGAAATGCAGGGAACCAGGAACTTAAGGAAGAGCCCTTAGGTGTATGCCATAATTTCTAAAACTTTCAAATGATGCAAGTTATATTGTTGGTATTATCTTTGGAGGCCTCACAACCACATCCAATACTGCAGTCTGTAGGAGCTGGATACAGGCAACACACGCTCTCCTGGCTGTATTTTAGGCCTCACATTTCCATGCAGTAAAGAATCTGTATTTTTTCACCCACCTTGCTTTGGTGCTGTTCCTCTATGGTCTGAGACTTGCTAAAGGGCAGCCTCATTTCCTGTGTGATCCTTTGTAAATGACTCAGCTGGTTGTCCTTCTCTGCTATGGCCATCAGGTACTGCTCCTTCATGCTGCTGCTCTGCTTTTCCCAGGTGGTCTTCTCCTGTCTGCCCAGTACAAAACCAGGGAAATTACAAGGAAGTTACCAGTATCACTTATGATGTCCAGGTATCCAGCTAAGAATGAATCAAGGGTGATTCAATCATCACCCCATGCTAGACATGAACTTTTATAATCAAGCCAAGCCAAAACAAACCATTAAGTACAGGAACCTTAAAAGCAGGTTTAAGACGTTTTCTGGATTTGGTTGAACCCTTCAGATTGTTCCATGCTTACACTTTTTGTATTCCCGAACATAGTTTTGAGCTTGCTGTACAGAGTTTTGTCAAGGAAGTCACGGGCAATGCCACCTGCCCCCATCACAATTTCTCTGCATGGTCACCAGACCCACAATACTGATTTCATCACACCCCCTGAGGCCTTCACTTCATGTACAGTGTAAAAGCTACACAGGAAAAAAATCTCCTGTTCTTCTGTCAGGCTAAACAAAATTTTTAAGATGCTTCAAACTTAACAAGATCTGAAGTGTTAGTTTGAGGGTCAGATTGGGGGCAGGGTGAAGGGAGAGAACTACATGTTTTTATATCACTCTGTACAAAGATAAGCCACAGACCTTTCCACAAAGAAAATCCCACCCTTTTAATTCCAGCCTCGGGCACTCTCAAAAGAATCTCTGAAATATATGAAAGCATTTCCCCCTGTTTTTAGAACAGAGCATATTCGTCTCACTAGTTTTAGTCCAGTCGGAGAAGACAGTTTTACTAGACTTGAATTACAGAGTTTTTTAAAATAAAATGTAGTAGACATACAACAAGTGAAACAAAGGATGAAAGAAAGACAGCCATACAAAATAACTATGTTCTAAACTATGATATCAGTGGGGTAATAAAGGCTGTTCAACAGCAGCTTGGAATGGAAAGTACCGTGATTATATACATAAGCTCCAATACAAGAAACAGCCCAAGCCTCCTCTCCATCCATACTCCATCAGTATCATCCTCTCAGATGATACCGACCACCAGTGGATGAAGAAAACAAAAACTAAAAGATCACTGATCTGTTTCACACAGGCATTGACCTCCAACCTTCTGAGGCAGAAGCTGGATAAGGGAAAACATGTGCCCACTCCTGGCCAGGGCAGAGTGCCTCAGTGGCACCTGGCACAGTCCAGGCTGAGGTTTGCAGCATTCCCTTCACCTCTGCCCACTCTGCTCTTTGAGAGAAACAAACACATTTGCATCATCACCGAGGCAGGGAGCAGACGGTTCACCTGAGCTGCTGCAGCTCCTGCTGGTACACAGCTCCTTCCTGCTTCAGTTGTTCCTGCAGACGGAGGTGTTTGTCTGCCTCTTGCTCCCAYGCCTGCAGTTGTGCCTTTAAGCGAGAATTCTCAGCGGCTTCCACTCCGACCAGGATGTATTGCTGCTGCAGATTCTTCAGCTCTCTCACCTGGAATTAAGGAAAACCTCAGTGTRTGACAGCTCAACAAGTATCTAGGTTTATTACTTAGAATTGTTTAAGAGCATTTCTCACTGTGGCATCTGGAGGGAAAAAAAGTCACATTCAGATGGCAGAGAAACTAGAAACTGAATAATCAAATACAGCAGTGTACTAAAAACTGCTCAGAAAAAATCCTTAGGGAATTCTACTGTTAACGACGGCAGGGAGTTTTGAGCCCTCCCATGAAGACTGACACATTAACAAAAAGACTCTAGGCTACAATACTACTAATTATCTTTTTCAGAGAAAAATGAAGTGACACAGAAGGAGCTGAAGTTGGCATTTACTGTAAACCAGGAAACTGATGAAGTAAAATTCTTTTGGCTCTCCAATTCAGTCAGGCCGAAATTACAAATAAGTTGCTGTTACCCATGCATCACTGCAGCTGTTTCTGAATGCAAGAAGACGTGGCTGTCTCTGGAGTTGGGAAAGTACTCAATGAGTGGCAGTGGGACGTAAGTGTCAGACTACCTTCTGGCCAGCAATGAGAACACTTGCTGGGCTGCATTGTGCTAGAGAGTACACAAACACAGACACATCCAGGCAAGGATGTCAAAAGGAATCTGCAATCTCTTCTACCTGCCTTGAAAATCAGCTGCCAAGTGGAGCAGGAAACTCAAGCCTTTGCTCTAGTCTCTTAGAAATCTAAGGCAAATCAAATGCATGAGCTGACACAGCTGTGAACTAAGCAGATTAACAGGGCTCTTATTTCCATGATTTTATATTTTAAACCAAGCTAACAGAGAAACTCTTGGAACTTAACAATGAAATCACAGCCTCCATGTCAGAGAAAATAACATAGATGGCCCATACCGGATCCATGGGATCTGATGGAGCACACTCACACACGCTAAGGTCACTGGGAGGCAACTCATTACCTTTGAAAGGTCATGGTGACCCAAGAGGTTTCTGAAGACTGCAAATGTCATCCCTACATACAAGAAGTATGACAGAGAGAAAGTGGGAGCCTGCAGTCTGGTCAGCCTCTCCAGCCCTGGGAAAGTGAGGAAGCAACTAATTCTGGAAACCATTTACAGATATATGAAAGAACAGGTTGGCCAGAGAAGTTGTGGAATACCAACGGAGACATTCAAAATCCAACAGGACATAGCCCAGAGCAACCTATTCCAGCTGACCTTATTTGTGCAGGGGGTTGGACTAGGAGATCTTTAGATGATCTCCAGAAGACCCTTTGAATCTCAATTATTCTGTGATTTCATGACGATTGATAACGATCTACGCATCACACTGCAACTACCAGATCTATGTGTGCTGGATTTTAGAACTTGAAGATCCCAATTTCCTGCAGTGCTTTAAGTAGGAGCAGGAAGAGAGAACAAGGACTTACTACTCTGTCTCTGTCACTCTGCAAGGAGGACAGTGCCTTCTTCAGACTTTGAACTTCCGAAGAAGTGGTGGAAGTGCTCCCTTCTGCTTGCCGTTCCGCTTTTTCAATCTTACGTGTTTTGTCCAATTCATTCAGCAGATGGTCTCGCTCATWCTGCAGGCTTGCCATAGCCTTGGAAAAAGATTTGACTTGGTTGGAAGAGCCTTCCAGTTCCAAAGACAAACGGAGAAGCTCATCATCTTTAACTCTGACCTGCTGATTAAGTTTCTCAATCTGGGCCAAGAGACCTCTTTCTTCAGTGGCCCTCTGCAGTTCTGTCAGCTCAGACTTCATTGTATCTCGATCCCTGGCAGTGGAATGTTGCTCCTCTTGTAGCTGAGCCATCTGTTTCTGAAGATTCTGCACTAGACTTTTTTGTTCCTCTAAGTCTGCAGTGTATTTCTGTTTCAAAACATGAAGCTCTTCATTGGCCTGGTCTCGGCTATCCTGAAGAGAACTCATGGACCTCCCAAAAGACTGAATTTGAGCTCTGAGATCTTTGTTTTCAACTGTGACTGCAAGCAATTTCTGTTCCATTTCCATCAAGTCCCGTGCCAACTCTGCTACTCTCTCTTCTGCTGTCTCAGTTTCATTCCTCATTATCCCTGCATCATGATGCAGGTGCTTCAATTCCTTCCGAAGCCTATCCTCAGCCTCTCCCACTCTCTTGGCTGCATCCCTTTGAACACATTCCAGCTCTCCCTCAAGTTCTGCTATTCTTTTCTGGGAGAGGGAAAGCTTGTGACTCAGTTCTTGTACCTCTTCCTCTCGGGCCTTCAGTTCTACTTGACACTCCACAATGGGACTCCCCTCATGTAATGCTGCCACCTCACTTTGCATCTGGGACAGAGAGGACATAAGGCTTTCAATCTCTTGAGACATACTGACTTTATCTTCTCTCAAGGCTTCCATGCATTTCCTGAGATCATCCTGAGTACGCTCAGACTCTTTCAGCTGTATTTCTACAGTTGCCTTGTCATTTTCCAGAGTTTGGATCTGCTGCAGTTGTATTTTGAGAAGTTGCTTCTGTTGGGAATCCTTTATGGAAATCACTTGGTTAAGGTCTTCTCTGTACCGCACCAACTCTGCATTCAGCTTGGCATTCTCAGAGTTGAGGTCATCCATCTGGCCGTGGAAACTTCTCATTTCTTCCTTGAGCTTGTTGTTTTCTGCAGCAGCCTCTTGAATTAGCTGGTCTTTTTCCAACATTATAACAAGATGGCGTTCCTCAAGCTGCTTGTAGTCCCTCAGTATGCGGTCTCGGTCGTCCTGCAGAGATGACATGGACTTGGTGAAGGAGTCCAGTTGTGTCTTTTGCTTCTTACTTTCTTCTCTGCTTATCTTCATCTTTTCAGTGAGATAATCCAGTTTGTCAAGAAATTTGTTCTTCTCATTTTCCAAGGCTTTTTTATCTTCTTCCTCCTTACTTAGCCTGCACTCCAACTCTTTCATCTCTTCAGAATGTTGCTGCTGTAGTTCAGCTAGAGCAGCCATCACTGCTTCCTCTTTGGCAGACAGCAAGCTCATGATCTTTTGATCTTTGGCACTAGTTTCTTCATGCAGCTTATTTGTTAGGTCCCTGGAAGCCTGCAAATCAGCTTCAAGCTGTTCACAGTTGAGTTTAAAATTCTGCACACTGGTCTCTTGTTGCTTGACCACAGTTCCCAGCTCTTCCCTGGCTAGCTCACATTTGGTGAGAGAGTTCTCTAAGTCAGCAAGCTGGTCTCTCAGGCTGTTGATTTCTGACTCCAGTTCCTGCTGTTTATTCTGAGACTTGCTGTAAAGTTCCCGAGAGCCCTCAAGCTGACTCAAAAGCTCTTTTTTTTCCTCCTGCAACATTTCACATGTTTTTTGATGGTGCTGAATTTCCTTCCTGCAGTCTGCCTCCCAGTCTTTCTTGTCACATTCCAGCCTGAAAAGAGAAAAGACAAAGTTGGTCAAAAATCCACGAAGTATCTCAGTATCTAAACCCACACTAACACTGTTTTTATACTAATGTAGAAAAGTCACAGAATTAATTTGATTTAAATAAAGCAAGCTGGCAATATCCCTCAATTTAAAATTCAAGGTGTCTTTTAAAGTTCTGACTGTACCACTGCCTGAAGGGGGTGGTGCCAGGGAAACAGATGTTTTTTTAAGTTTTTCATGTCAATACTGAAAAAATGGAGGCATTTAAACTGAATGTTATCACCTCCTTTTCATTACATTACTTATCTCACTCATTGCAGCTAACAATAGAAACAATCCCACACTGCCCCACAATGAAACTGCTGTTCTGATACCTTTGATGTCCATTTCGTGCTCCAGCACGCAAAGATGCAGCATATAAACTTTATAAAATTATTTTAGTAATGTAATAATGACTTGGTTTTGAATCTCGGAAATACACAGATGTACATTTTGATACGCTTCCATAGCTCCATCTTCCCCTCAAAATTTATTTTGAGATTTAGYTGGAATTATGTACCCCAATGCTCTCTTGACCTCTCAGTGCAGCATCTCCATGCAAAAGAAAATAATTTATCTGAAATTTGAAAGGCTCCAGATAGTAATCAGACGGCGGTGAGTGCTTGCCACAGAGAACAGATTTAACACAGATACCCTAACGATGTGAAGACGGACTATTCTTGAGCGCTAATCACCCCGTGTCCCTGCGCAGACAACAAATACAAAATAACCTTTTCCTGATAAACCTCTCCCGACACAGTTTCTTTACCTGGATATATGAGTCTGGAGTTCTTCCACACGCACGGTCATGCATTTCATCTGGTCCTTCAGCACAACACAGGTTTCCTCTTTTGAACGTATTTCTTCTTCCTTCTTTTGAATAGCTTCAGCGAATTTCTTCTCCCATGTTTTTGATTCATCTATCACTCTATCTCTATCGTCCTGAAGGGAAGACATGCTCCTGGTGAAGGCTGCGAGCTGGGCTAGTGTTTTGTTTAGACTGCCTTCCAGTTGCTTGGCTTCTTGATCCTTCGTCTTCAAGGTGTCTTGCAGATCACCAACTGTTGTTTCCATACAGTCTTTCTCTCTCTGCAACATCGCCAGCTTTTCTTCCATGGTTTTGATTTCCTTTGAGTGCTTGTCTTTTTCCTGTTCCAGTCTTCTCTCAAAGTCCTCATCCCTTTTCTTCATTTGATTTTTAGTTTTCTCTTTGTTTGCTTGCAACTCTTCTTTTACTTTGACACTCTCAGCTAGAATCCTTGCTGCCTCACTCTGAGTATCATCCAACACTACTCTGCAGTGAGCAAGCTCTGCCTGGGCTTTCTTGGTGTCTTCAACTGCTTCAGCTGAAGTTTTCCTGGCTGCTTCTACCTCCTTCTGAGTCTCACTCTGCAGAAATTCCAGAGCTTTAACAGTTCTTTCTAAACTACTGTTCTTTTCCTGGCTTTTAATACAGTCCGTCTGCAGCTGCTTAATCTCCTGCTGTTTCTGTTTCAGCAGTTCTTGAAGCTCCTTTACCTGTGTGCTGCTTTCTCCTCTCCAATTGCATTTTGGCTTTTCTACAGATTCCTTTTGCTTTTCTGAACTTGCTCTGCTTTTCTCCTTTGCCAGCTGACTTTTCTCCTCCTCCAGTTTGTGCATCATTCTCTGCAAACTCTGAATCTCATGTTTCAGTTGATCATTTTTGATTTGGAAGTCTGTTGCATCTTGCTGATAGTTTCCAATACTCCCATTAAGCTCTGCCAGCTGATTCATGAGCCTTTCTTCCAAGTCATCCTTTTCAGCCTCTAGTGCATCCTTCAACGCTGTCATTCTCACCAGGTCGTCTTTGGTCTTTTGGACTGTTTGCTCCATCTTTGCTACTGTAGCCTGCAGAGCATTCACTTCATGGACTTTCTCTTCCATTTGGTGCTCTAAAGCACTTTTCTCAGCTGCTAAAGTCTCGACATGCACACGGATGTCATCCAGCTGTTGCTCTGAAGCCCTTCTATTATCTTCCAGCTCCGTAACTCGTTTGGTGAGCTCAGCTATTTGCTGTCTGTAGATACGAGAATCCTCATAAGGTCTATCACTTTCTAATGCCTCTCGGTCCAGCTCTGCAGCAGGACACTCTGGTCCAAAAATTACRTCCACTCGATTTTCAGATCTTTCCATTGGTGGTGCTGTGGCAACCGCTTCATATGTTCCTTCCCCTGTTGTCTTCTGGTCTTCAAGTTCACTACTTTCCTTCAGCTTAAATTCTGTTAACTGCAAAAGATACTTCAAGTCCGTGATCTCTTGATTAAGAGACTCCTTTTCAGCCATTACTGTCTCAAGCTGAGTAAAAAGAGACTGACATTCCCTCCTAGAGCACTCCAGATCTTCTTTCAGGCTAGTGCTTGTCAAGGTCTCTCCAGTCCTGTGTAGCTCTCCATCTGCAAAATGCATCTCTGCTCTAAGCTTCTCATTCTCCTCCTCTAGTTCCAGGATCTTTTGTTGCTTTGATTTTGCAAATTTCCTCATTTTCTCCTTCATTCCATCAATTTCCTGTCCAGCTTCCTGTAGCTGCTTATCTGTTTCCTCTTTTTTTGCCTCAGCACTCTTTAGCTGAATGAAAATTTCCTGCTTTTCCTGTCTAACAGTTTCCAACACACGTTGAATTCGCTCAGCCTCGTCACTCACATTCTCGTACGACTGCAGCAGAGTTTCATATTCTCCCTGAAGCTCCTTGTATTTCTCCTGCCACTCAGAACTCTCAGTGGCTTGAAAGCATTTCAGTGATTCCACCTCCTTCTCCAGCTTCTCTTTCTCTATAACAGCTCTGTCCAGAGCAAGTGTAAGGTTTTTATGGCATCCATCAAGATTCTGATTTTCTGTAAGTAATTTATCAACTTCTGCAATAAGTTTTTCTCGCTCTCCAGTGAGGCACGCTAACTTTTCTGTTAAGATATCTGTTTCTTTAACATGGCCACATATTTGGCTTTCCATATCTGTCAGCCTGACAGAAAGATTGTCAATAGTAGTTTTAGCATTAGCCAGCTCCTCTTTTAGAGATTTACTCTCCTTTAGTGCCTCTTTTCTAGAGATAAGTGCAGCTTGCAACTTCCTCTGCATTTGATTCTTCTGTTTAGCTGCTTCTGCATTGTCCTCTTGCTTCTCCTGAATTTCAAGCAACTCTCTGTGCAGTCGCTTGTTTTGTTCCTCATGCACCTGAGCCTGAGCTTCCAACTGACTACACAGTGTTTTCACTGAGTCCTCTTTTCCCAGCAATTGTGTCTGCACATTACTGAGAGCTTCACTTTTCTCCTTTAACTGCTGGCTGAGAAATTTAATTTCTTCATCCTTCTGGTGTACAAGGATTTTCAAGTCTTCCAGACCGGTCACTCCAGAAATTTCTCCTTGACTCTCCTCCAATTCTGCCTGAAGACTTGCTCCCTTAGCTTCAGCTTGGTCAGAGGTTTTCTTTAGCCCTTCTATCTCCACAAACAACTGTGCTATGTGCTGTTGCAAATCAAAGACTAATTCTGATTTGTGAGCAAGTTCCCTTCGCAAATGGCTGATGTTACATTCCAATTTCTCTTTCTCCATCTGCAATTTATCGAGGTGTTTCTTCAACTCTTCCTCAGAAACATCTGCAACTTGTACAAGCTTGTTATTTGTTCTATCTTCTGTTTCCACGCATGAAGAATCCAACCTCACCTGACTCCCAAAACCAGTCTCTGCTGATCCTTTCTGTTCTTGGAGCTGTCTGAGCTGAGCTTGGAGGCTGTCCTTCTCTTTGCTTTGCTGATCAAATTGCTCTTGCAGGATGCTGTAATCATCTTTCTGCTGTTTCAGTTGTTCTCTGTGATGCCTGTCTTTTTCCTGAGCCTTTTTTATAGTGTCTTTGCGAGATACCAGAGCTTCCTGAAGTTTTTTTTGAAGTTGTTCTTTTTCTTGTTCAAGAATTGAAATCCTTTCCTTAAGAGCAGCGTTTTGGTTTTCTTCCAGATTTGTACTTGCTGTACTATATTTTTCATTTTCTTTATCATATTCTGGGCTTTCATTGGTTTCAGCTATGTTGTCAGGAATTGTCTGATGCTCCATGATTTCATCTTTAACTGAAATAGTGTTTGCCTTGCCTTGCAAGCTTTGCCTCATTTCCTCAATCACTGCCTGCAGTCGCGCTTCAGTAGTTTCTTTATCCTGCAGGTCCTGCCGGATGCTCTGCAACTCTGATTCCTTTTCAGAAAGCAGCTGAATTAGATAGTCCTCACTGGGCTGGTTTTCAAGACTCACTTCTTTGCTCATCACGTTTCTCACATTTTCTTCCCCTGTAGCTGCCCGAGCCACTGAGGTTTCTGATTCTTGTTCTCGACTCAGTTGTTCTAATTCATTCTCCAATTTGGTAACCTTCTTCAGAAGCTCCTTCCTGTTCACAAGTGCTGCTTGCAGCTTCCGCTTTACTTGCTCATTTTCTTTATTCAGAAGCTCAACTTGACTTACTAATTCCTCATTTTCTTTACTCACTGCTTTTGTCTCATTTTGCTGCTCGGATGCCCCACATTTCAGACATGTATCTTTTATTCCTATGTTTTGTTTTTTTTCGTCCCGGGCTTTTAGTAAGAGACTTGTCTGCTCCTTAAGACTCTTCAGCTCATTTCCTAGAGAAAATTTCTCTTCATTCAGCAGGACCATTTTCTCAGACATGCTAACACTGATCTCTGTCATCTGTTGGTCCTTTTCCAGCAAGGCTTGTTGCAGGCTCTTTATAGACTTGGTGTGCTCAGCAACAAGCTGTTCTAGGCTTGCTGCCTCACGTCCCTTCAAGGCTAACTGGTGGGAAAGCTCTTCCATCTCTGCTGTATTCTTCCTCAAAAGTTGTTCTAGATCAAGTACTTCACATTCCTTCGTCTCAACCTGGCTTCTCAGATCCTTTAGTTGCATGGCCTGGTCAGAAAGCTGAAGCTGCGTTTCATCCAAGTCCTTTTGCAAAGCTTCAATTTTCATATCCTTGGATTTAAATTCATTTTTAAGGCTCTGGACTTGCTCTCTTAGAAGACTGCTTTGACTGTCCGCAAGTCTCTGCTTTTCTGAAAGAGCTAGATCCTCCTCCAGTTGCTTCACTTGCTCCTTCAGTTCTGTTATGGTAGAGAGTTCTTTCACCTGACACAAGAGCTGATTTTGTTCTTCGGCCAAACCACAAAATCTACTGTCAGAATCCTCTCCTTTTTTTCTGTATTCCTCAGTCAACTGCTTTAGCCTATTTATTTCTGCACATTTTTCTCCAAGATCTTTCCTAAATGATTCTTCTGATTTCTGTAGAATTATTTGCAATTCTGTAATTTGTTTTTTTAACTTTATCAGTTCTTGAGATTGAGAGGTCCCAGGCTCTGGATCTGCTGTACAAAGTTCTTGCACTGCCTCCGTCTTACTTGTGCAGGGGACGTGGCTTCCCTGAGACTCTTCTTGGAGACCGATTCTGTTTTCCTGAAGCAAGCCAATTTGCTGCATTTCTGTTTGCCTCAGTAATGAGACACTCCGTGTATCTGAAGCCTTCTGCTCGTCCCTCTCCAGATACCGCATCTGTGAATTCTCTTCCAGCTGGCTGGCTTCCGTTTGGCTCCTTGTAGAAGTTCGGCTGCTAGGGCCCTTGAGCTGGCTTTTCAGGAAAGTTATTTCTTCTTGGGCTTCTTTCAGTTCCAGCAGCAAAACCGACAACTCTTTCTGTTTCTCTGCAGCAATATATTCTAGAATTCCGGGTGGACAACTTCCCTCAGTAAACTGCTTGCTTCCATTGGTAAAATCATCTGTTCTTGCCTGAAAGAAAATAGCAAGTATAACTTTTCCTCTGAATCTTGTGAAAGAGCCACTTTTGGAAGCAACTGCTTTCCACATTCGGTAACTTCCGTAGCTTTCTCAARCTGGCTTCTGCCATAAATAGAAGCCTCACTAATAACAGGGGGCTCTGCCTCAGCAGCGGGAGGTGGACTATGTCAGGGTTCAGAGGTCCCTTCCAAACCCAACTAGTCTGTGATTCTGTGACTTCTCTGGTCACTTCTGGTAATTTCATTTTCTGAAGTTGCAGCATGAAAGATTCTGGCTTCAGGATCAGATCACAGGGGCAACTTTCTATTGTCTTTTCCCCCCTTCTCTCTTAATTACACCATAGTATGACCTCTAAATGTTTAAGCTCTCCTGTGATTCTCACAAGGCCTCTAGTGTACTCATCCAGCCACATTTTCATGGCATCCTAGTCATAGTCTTTGAGTAAGAAGGTTTGGTCCCCTATTCTATTTGACCATTTAACATGGCAAAGAAGAAGGATAGAAACCCATATTCCAATCTGTGTCCAGGTCCAAAGTGAAAGCACTAGACAAAGCACCTGGAACGAAGCGCTTGGCTTTTTCCAAATAACTATCTTAAGGTTTCTTCCCATCTGCCAAAACAGATGACAAAAGGAAAGCAGTCAAAAACCGTCCCCAGAAAACTTATATCAACAGCCCACCAATAAGTCAATATGCTGCGTTGTAAAGGCTGCTCATCAGTGCGGAGGGCACAAATAATTTATGGGGAACCATTAAGGGAGAGCTACTCTAAAAAAGTCTGCTGTTGTGATGCAACAACCACTTTAAGCTACAGCAGGTTAAAAAAAGCGAACTCTTTGGGGCTTTTAAACTAAATTAAAGTTTTCATATCCACAAATGCATACAATACTGAGACCAAAAGGGTTTTGGACAACATTAGTACCTCGAAGAGCAAGAAGGTGTCATCAAAAGGCTTTTGCACTTCAGAATTCACCAGCTCTCCTGGCATACCTAGTGATAAAAGGTACACTCGTCACCTTCAGCGTAACAACTTGCAGGTAAAGTCAGGAGGTAAGTGAAGGGACAATAAATGGGACCGGAGCTTCTACAGAAGGTGAGAAAAGACCAAAAAATGCAGCAAACCAAGCACATAACAAAAACAACCCGGAGTCTGAGTTTATGCAGTGCACAGACATTCTGTTGTGCTTCAACTCCAGCCAGAAATTAAGACCCTGCAGCTGCAATATGGCTCTGTGCCAACTCCCTGTGTTCATTGCCTGCTGGCATCATCACTTCTGACCCCTGCAGAAGGACGAAGAGCAAAGAGACAAGTGAACCAGGTAACAGATTGGTCTGACTGGCTTTTTTTTCATGCGGGATGCGTGAGGAACTAATTCCAGACAAAAAAAGAAATTTACTGGCTAGCAGAGAAAAACACAGTTCTTCATTTTACCTTAATTGTCTTCTGTGCCTTACACATCAGTCTTCGCGTCTACAAACACACTCCTACAAACACTCCTCTCTTTCTCACCTTAGGAACCACTTCTTTCTTCTCTTCTGGTATATCCTACCCATCCCACATTAGAATGTTCTCCTCTACCTCATGTAAATATTTTTTAATTATTTCTGTAGATTATCATCTTTTTCTTGTCACATGCCTTATTTGGTGCCCTCACCTGCAGAAGCAGAAGAGCAGTCTACATAAGAGGCTGGAGCTTCCACAGTCTTCGAGTCTTGCAATTTTGCCTCAGCACCATTCTTATTCTGTAGGTTGAAGAAAAAACACTGAGCTTTGAGCCAGGATCCTGGTATGAGAAGACAGCTCTCTTAGCTGCCTACTGCTCTGCCAAGCTCYAAGTAAAACCTATTGGTCCCAACTTTGGACACAACTCTGAAGCGTAATGAAAACAAACAAATAATAATAAAAAAGAGAGACTGGTTTTGATGCTAAGCAATAGAATAAGACATATCTCACCAGATTAATATATCAATGGATGCAATGATTTAAATCACTTCCTTCCCACCATGAGATGATTTCACTTCCATCTTTACCACTACAAAGAGACTAACTACAGTATYATAACCTTTCACTGAATGCCCAAGCAGAGGTGAGAAGTCACATGTCTGTCAGTGTATGCCTTACTGCTCCAGCCAATAAAGAAGCTTGAGTATTCCCAATACAGGTATGCCAGGCCCCACCACACAAACAAAACAATAACCCCACAAGAACCTTTTAACTGCTAGATCTCCTTAACCTGCATTTGGATAACCACATAACTTGGCCTAAAGCCATGGGTCGGATGCACAAATGGGGTGCAAGTGTAAAAACTTAGATGCAAGCTATTTAGCTGGACTCTTTTTATAATGACGACATTGAAATGGACAATTCCAGGGTTGTTTTCACCAACTCATTTTTAACCACCTTGGTCCAGGTGAGTCATACGCTAAAGAACATGTTCTTTCCACTGTCTATAAAGGGGCAGTAGAAAATAGTTCAAATGCTTATAGCTGCCCTTGAAAACACTACAAGTGTGGGTGTGTGCATATTCCCACTGATCTAACAGCTCACAGCTTGACTACAGGCAGTTGGAAGGTAAGGGTCTGAGTCAAGCAGGATGAATGATGCAAAGTGTTTCTCTGGTTCCACCGAGTCCCAAATACCAACTTTTGCCTTAATACCTCACAGTAATATACAAACCCACTGACAGAGAGGAACGTATTAGATAAAACACAGCATTAACCTTCCCCCTGTGGACAGGATGGGCCAGCGGAGCAGGCTGCAAAGAGACAGACTTTGCTCCAAGCTAATAACCGGTTCCACAGCGAACCCTCAGTACAGATACACGGAGGCCTCATCTACCTCCCTGTSCTGTGTGTAAAGCCAAGCAGCAGGTTTCTAATTCTGCATGCTTCCCAACAATAGCCTGACTGCACTTGTAGCTGCAGCTGTCCATCTTATATACTGCCAGCTGAGCCTTTGAAATTGTCTTTCCAGAGATCTGTCTCAGCATAGCCCATGGTTTTGCTGAAAAACTAACTCACATGAGGCAGAAAATAGCACAAATATGGATTGGGGGGATGAAGGACACAACAAATCCACACAGCCAGCAAAGGGAAATACAGTCTGTTAGGAACACAGTGCAACCAGCATTTGGAAGCTATTTCTGTCTTTCACCATTAATCCAGTTAATAATAGCAATCTTCCAAAGAGGATTGATAGAAAAGACCATGACAGCTTAGCTGTTTTAAGGCCARTCCTTGACCTATTTTAGTTTTAGCTTATTTCACTGCTTAATCATTACCTGTTTTGCATCTTCTGTCACCATCACAGCTTCCTGCTGAGGCTCTTGGAGAAAAAGTTGCAAATGCGGTATTTCTGAAACATTCAAACACAAGAAATWTCTTTGAAAATTAAGACTCTGCTTTAGATAGTAATAGGATATCCTTTCAGGAGCCTTAGAGAAAGGACATGTGGCTGTTAATGACACTTAGGTAGCGGAGACACATACTGTCTTTGGATAACGTGGGTTTGTTTCCTTTAGAGGCAAACCACACAAATAACATGCTGTTTTAAGCAGCTTTTATAAAAGAACAATTGTTGTCATACAGACATGCTGAAAGACAGCTAATAGAGATTTACGTTTTAAGAGACATATTTATAAAGAAGAGGAAAGAAGGAACTAYTGTAGCAAAATGTTTCAAATGTAATTTTGAAAAAATAAAATGAGAAACTTATAAATGTACAAGAAAAACACATTCTGTAATTCATCTCAGTTCTAAATAATGCTATTAGGTGATGTCTCAACCTTTTAGCGCAGGAGCCAGTAAAGCAACAAATACTATGTCTTCCCCAGAAATACCAACTTAGAAGCATTAAAAAMCAGGCCCCATTTCTGTGAACATGTTAACTCCAACGATGGTATGAAAAATACGTTAATACGTATGCAAAATAAAATCCAGGACCAAGTTAAACAGTTCTCTTGGGGGTATGAATTTCTGTACTTTTCACTTCTGAGCATGCAGAGAAGACACACCTACCATCAATATACAGTACAAAGTTTTCTTCGGTACCCCTTTAAACATTTTTCTACATACAATTGATTATACAAAACTGTATTTGCTAAATATTATGGAAGTTGAGGAAGCTCAGATGAATCAGTTTTGTGAATTTTAACAACTGGAAGACAGTCTGTGTTTTCTGTGATAATGGCTTTCCTTTATTGATTCATACTATACTTTCCACCGACTGAACTAGAGAAAGCCTCATAACTAATACARTGTTCCCTGACACAGCAAGATCAATCACTCAAAGAGCTGCCTCAAGAAAAGTTCAGGGAATCAATGTGGATGTAAAGAGAGTAACACATTTCTGATACAATGCACCGCTAARCCCATGGAAATGAAAAGAGTGTACAAAGATTTCAAGAATTTTTACATTTCAAATGACAACAGCTTGAAATTTGAAGGCACTTGTTGAGTTCTGCTGAAAAGGCATAAAAATTTGCAAAATATAAGGCAAATACCTATAAATCCTTATTTCATTCTATTYGAGTTATGGAATGGATTACAGTGGGCAGTTTTAGGCATCCCACTTTAAATAAGACAGACAAACTCATGGGAAAAAAAGGAGTAACAAAGTATTTAGAACCTATAGAGCAGAGTTAAAATATTATGATTTGTTTATGTTTCATTTAATATTTTGGTGTTTTTTAAAGAAATTACATCTTCCAGTGTTTAAGATCTGAAAAAATGTCAATAATCAAGTGTTCAACACATCCACTGGAAAGAGAATTGCAACAACAAAAGCTTGTTTTGAAGTAAACCTGCATCTAAACATGCACTGGCAAAGACATTTTAAGGAACATGACAGTGAAGCTCTGAGTCAAAGCATTTTTCAGGTGGAATTCCTTTCAKTAGAGGGAGGAGCTGCTTTTTAAGAAACTTGATTGAAGTTTTCCAGGTGCATTTGGATATAYTCAGTTGTAACTTGGGACATGGTATCAGACTGAAAGCTGTATTTCTGTAAGGTCTTTGATACGGCCCTCCCAGCACCCTTGCTACTAAATAGCTGAGATACGGGTTCGACAGGTGGACTGTTAGGTGGGGTAAGGAACTGGCTGCGTGGCCGCACGCAAAGAGTCGCAGTTAACGGCTCAACGTCCAAGTGGGAATCAGCTCCTGCAAAAGTCCATCTTGAGACAGGTACTATTTAGTGTCTTTTAACTGCTGACAGAGACAGCGGGATGGAGTGCACCCTTGGCACACCCGTAGGTAACACCAAGCTGAGTGGTCAATTTTGCTGGAGGGACGTGATGCCATCCAGAGGGACCTGGAGAAGCTTGAGGAATGCAGCCACGCGGCCCTTGCGCAGAGCAAGGTTTAATAAGGCTAAGTGCAAGGCCCTACACCTGGGCTGGGGCAATCCCACAGACTGCGGTGTGAATGGACTGAAAACAGGCTACAGAGGAAGACTTTGGGATTCTGGTGAACTAAAAATTGGACAGGAGCTGGCAGTGTGTGCCTGCAGCCCTGAAAGCCAATCATATCCTGGGCTATACTACAAGAGGTGTGGGCAGCAGGTTGAAGGAGACAATTCTCACCCTCTTCTCTGCTTTCGTGAGACCTGACTCGGAGCACTGTGTCCAGTTCCGGGGTACCCCTGTACGAGACAGATGTGGATCTATTGGAGTGAGTGCAGAGAAAACACAAAAATTTTCAGCGGGCTGGAACATGTATCTCCCATGAAGAAAGGCTGATGAGAGAGTTGTGGTTGTTCAGCCTGGACAAGAAAGGCTCCAGAGAGGCCTTACTGCAGCCTTTCAAGAGGGCTGCTTCCCTCCGGGTTGCCCAGAGAAGCTGTCAGTTGCCMCATCGCTGGGCATGACATGTTCAAGGTCAAGTTGGATGGGGCAACCTGATCCAGTGAAGGATGTCCCTGCTCAGGGCAGGGGGGATGGACCAGATGATCTTTATGCGTTCCATCCAACACAAACCATGCCACGATTCTAAACAATGTCTTGAAGCCTATTAAGGACCTGCATCTGCAAGACCATGAGGGAAAAAAAAAGAGAAAGAAGATATTCTAGGACTGTAGGAATACAGTTTATTGGTGATTATTTCCCCACCAGAATTCTTACAAAGAGGTTCTATCTTTGAATGACAGGAAGCAAAAGGAATCTACTTCTCAAAAATCAAGACAGCCTATTGTCATAGTGCACCAGATGCTAAAGTAAACGCATGAGGGAATCCACTGTTTTATATATAATTCTGATAGAGTTGTGATATTGCTGCTACCAGTCTCCGTGACCAGACACTCAAAACCTACGTAATTGTCTGGGCTTTTCTATATGTGGCACATATATGGGCCCCTTACTGTTTCAGCAAAAGCTATCAAAAATACTCCCCCCGTGAAGTACCACCTGCAGATTGGCAGCATTTCGTACTGGGGAAAGCTACCACTTCGGATATATTTTATTTTGTACAAACTAATTTTAGTATGATTTTTACATATTTAAAGAATATTAAAACAGGTAAGGTAATCATACAACCTTCTGTCTTCTGTCTTTCCATGTTTTCTGTGGGTAGGAATGAAGCCTCATTCTGGTCTTCCTGATCTATTATTTTTTCCTGTGAAGTTGAATCATCCTGTTTAAACTGGATGGAGGTGAGAAAGATAAAATTTAATACCATTTATAAATACATATTAGTCTTTGATTATGTGGTTAAATTAAAAAAAATAAATTTGGCAATCAACTTTTCAATTACTCAAACTGACTCCTACTTCTTTCCAGGCTTCTATAGTCATACGTCTGCCCATCAACTGAGAGGATTACTGAAAGCCTTTCTCAAGCAATGTATGATAAAAAAAAAAAAAGGATTTCTAGACATTTAATTTGGCTTTAGTTTCTAAATACACCAGAAAAAATGAATGAGAACCATATGAAAATATCACACCTGCTGGTTCACTTCAGAGACATGSATTTGTGACTGGGATTTCAGCTCATTCTGACAGCAGACAAATTCTTCAGATTTCTGTACAAGTTGATCTGACAGAGGGAAAAAAGGGGAGTTAAGGTGTGTGGTCTTTCTTGCCGAACTACATCCATTTTACACACATCCACAATAGTTTAGGAAATCCCTTATCTCTTGGTCACTCTTTCAGCTTTGGGTCAAAAAGGGGCTGGATGAAAATCAATTTGAAATAAGACMTTGAGGCAAGATCAATGTCATTATTTCTAACACAGGTCTATGGGGAAAACGGTACAGTTTGCTTTTCTCGGTTGTTTTACTTACAATTTCAGTAGAAATTCAGGCTGTGAAGAATGTGGCATATCTAAAAAGGACTTGCATAAGATAATGGAAAAAATCCAACAAATCAATAAAATCAATTAAAAAATACATCCAGCACAAGAAAGCCTTAATTCTCAAAAGACAAGAGGCTGGACAAGGAAAGCACCGTATACACTGCCCCGTGCTTTCGCTCTTCTTGCAGCTGCCAAGGACAGAATGGTGGGATCGAACTAGAACCGCCTAGCTTGAGACAGCACCACCACTCCTGTGTCCCCATGCAGTCAGGAACTGTTATATCAAGCCATTCTTATGGGCTGTTATAAAAACTAAGCCAAAGAGGAGGCAACCCAATGATTCTCAGCCTCCTGAGAACCTGCTCCACCTAACTGCCATGCTTGCTCACCCAGTGGTCCACGTGTTGTAGCTCCATGTTCCACAGATGGCACCAAGAGCTGGCCAACATCCTGCTTCAGCTGGTCCTTCTCAGCTCCATGGGCGGCATGGCCACATCGCAGCTCCTGCTCGGCCACCTTAAGACAACCGATCAGTCGGCTTTTCTCTTCCACCTCCAGCCTGTGCTCCTGTTCCAGGTCTTTATACTTCTCCTCTAGTTCAGCTTGTGCTCTTCTTGCCTCCTCCAGCTGTTCTGAGAGATGCTGCATCTCCACCTGCAAGCAATGGGAAGACAGCTTCCTCTCAGCTACTTCCAGCTCCATCTTCTCCCTGAGATCCYGAGATCCCTGTCTCTCCACTTCCAGCACATCTCTCAAGGAGCCTAGATCCACTTCATTCTTCTGGCACTGATCTAGGAGTTTCTGTAAAATGATACAGAAATTAATTTATCTCTCAACTAGTTAAATACCTTGACAAAGCAAAGGACCAGAATGATATTTTAAGGTTTTCCTCAAATACCTGAGTATTTAAGAAAAGGAGGAAACAAACGTCAGTAATTCCTACTTGTTAGAAATAAACTGCCCCACTATTTAGAAATTTTAAGAAAGCAGTGCTGAGAGAAGCAGCTCCTCATCACTGTGGTAAAGAAAAGATAAGTCCTGATTTAGAGGAGGGGAATTTAGAGGAAAGAAGCAATAGAGCAATGGCCAGGAGTTCTCTTTTAGAAGAAAGCAACCTTTCCAGAAAGGGGAGGAAGAGCTACAACAAATGAGGGAGAACTCAACAATTACAGTGTAGAATTTAAAAAAACTTTTTTTTTTTTTTTCCACAGGACAAAAGTGTGTATGTGAAAGGGGAATGCTGAAACGTGAGTCTGGAGGTAACAGAGGGTTCCACACAGAACCCACTGTTTTAAGAAAGATCTCAGAAGGCTGGTCAACACTGACCAGAGATTTAAGGCGACCAAGAGACAGAAACAGACCTTAACTTGCCCAAACTGCCATTGTCAAACTTCCTCTTCCTGKTGCCGTAGATGGTCAGCATAGCTAATTTCAGGAAGAGTCTGATGAGGAGCGCCTTTTACTTTGTGGGTAGGAAGAGAAACTTCAGCCCCATGGCCTCAAGCTTGTGAGGTCTTCTTCAGACCACCGAATGTGGGGAATGAGGGAAGTCAAAGACACCAAGGAGGAGTCAGGAGAGCCCAACAACCATATAAGAAGATATCCACGCCACCACTCCATGATACACCCTGCTAAGCAATGCGGTCAGTAGTGAGAACCTCACTGAGGTTCTTTACCTCTTTCTGGTAATAAGAGGACTCAGTATGGTCCCTGGCTAGGACATACAGGAAAAAAAAAATATGTGGAGCACAAGTGCGTAAAAATAATCCAAGTGAGGTTCAGCATTAGACTGGCTGGTGASCAAGAAGCCTACAGATATGAGACTGATTCAGCGTAAGTCTCTTCTAAAGGGATGGGGAATTTTCAGAAGTTCAGATAATAGGAAAACGAAAAATACACTAATCCTCTATCTGCAAATCAAGCTTTTAAGAGGCTGTGTACTTAATCCTGTCTCCATGCATATACAGTCACATATGCACAGACTTAATCTMATTCTCTTCGCACTCTAAATTGATGAAGTGAGAACCAATCCCACACCACAAGTTGTGTCACCATATAAACAAGTTCGCAGCAAGACATACCAAAGCGTATCTGTTTCTGCTCTGATATGGCCTGGATACCACAGGTCAGAAACACTGAGGCTACAGCAGCATTGCGYTACGCACTTCTGTTCGGCAAAGGTTTACGTATCTGGCTTTGAAAGTACAGTCAGCATTATGGGTATAGATAGATGTAGACCCTGTCCAACTGCCCAGAACCTGGATCATTAGAACCGGCAGCTGCAGAACCCCATTCTCTGGCTGCACCTGCTGTAAGCTGTGCCCACAGACCTGCAGCTCTAACACCTGACTGGAGGGAGGCCCCARTTGATTTCATGATGGAAACCTGTTGCCAAAAAATCCCTAATCAGGTGACTTCCGAGCTACTGACAAAGGCCCCATCCACCACCAATATGGACACAGAGTAAAGCAATAAAAAGCACGACCGGGTACCTGGTTTTGTTTCTCAGCAGCGCGTAACTCCTGCTGCAGCAGTTCTACCAGCTGAGTTTGTCCTAACAGAGCCGCTTCCCGCTCCTCAAGCTTTCTCTGGAGCGTGCATACGTTCTGTGAGAGAGACAAGGCTATTCCAGTATTGGGGAGGCTAATGTAAGTCTAGATTCCCATGTTTCACCCATACACCTAGTTTGTGTAACAGTTACTTYAATAGCCTGAATGACTTCATTTTTTGTTGACACCAGTTCTGGAGCCCTGGTGCAGTAGGAGGAGCTCACGTTGCTTCGTGAGTAGGGAACTGGAAAACAATAACCATACTTTTTTCAATTGTTCTTTCTCTTCTACTAATAGCAAACCTGCAGCTTGAAGGATTCAAAAGTCCCAACCAGCATTCCAGAAACTCCCAACAACCAAAGCATCCTTCTTCTTACCCCTTCTGAGTTACTTTAATGAGAACTGTYCTTTCAGGGTGTCTTCTGGTAAAATGCCTTTTCCTTCCTTCTCCCATGATACAAATATTATATCAAATATACCTGTTGCATCATTGCTTCCAGATCTGACTGGACCACCATCTTGAGCAATTCAGCTTGATGCTGGTGCACATGCTCTTCCAGGAGAGCATCCTTCTCCTGAATCACTTCCTGCAGGGAGCTCAGCTGAAAACATAAGCCACAAAATAAAAACAAATCAACAAGGTTATGAACCTGACAGACACCCAAGGCTTGCTTTCAACATGCACCAGCATACTGAGTGTGCGACGAGTTTCCAGCTTGACAGTCCCATATATCACCTTGGTCAAATGGTATTTTATTACCTGGTGTCTTCATCTTCATCCTACTAACATAATAACTGATAATAATTCAGATCCCAGAAAGCATAGAATTTCATCTACAAATATGCAGAATAATAAAATGTATGATTACTATATAATTACCAGTTCATAAAACTTCTGGGGTTTGGTAGGATATATAAGATGCAGCCCAATTCACAGTTCAAAAGATAAAAGTGCAATTGAGAGTATTAACAAAAATCCTTCCATATATAATTACAATGTAACATTAAAGCTGTTGCATTCTGTGATAAGCAGCTGCTATGCACACCCACAGCAGAATGCAGGCAGGCGATGGCAGGCCTGGCAGCTRGAAGAACACTCTGCCCCAGCTACTGCAGATCCCATCACGGAACAGCAAGGGTGGACAGGGAAGAATCCAAATTCTGATTTAGAGGAAGAGACACCCTGTCCAGGTCCTTTCAGGGACTGTTTCCCCCATCCTCAGAGAGCCATCAGTCCCATTGTCCAAGGGTGACACCCATCTCTTACCTGCAGAGTACCTTTTGCACCAAGGGTGGTTCTGGCCTGGGGGGTAGAGAATAGGGGCAGGTGAAGATCATTTGGGGATTGTGAAAGACTTATGGAATGTTTAGAGGAGGAACCAAAGGCAGTGAAATTGATGGATCTAGGTGATTTGAGGAGAAACAAAACTGAAAAAATTGAGGTAAGGGAACTGAAGACCAGCTGTGTAAAGCACTGTTCTACTCTATCACACCAATCTGAGAGGTGAGGTGGGAAATACAGACTGATGAATAGAAAAGAAATTCTGTACCTGTGTTGCATACTTGATTTCAGCATCTTTCAGATTCACTTTGGCTAGAGCCAGCTGTTTCTTCAGGTCCTGAATGGTCTCCTCTTGCTCCCTGAGCTGCTCTTTCAGTACTTCCACTTCCTTTCTGTGCCCTTCACTTGCATTTTCATTTTTCTTACACTGCAAGAGGAAACAAGTAGCAAGAAGAGAAATAGTAGAAAGTAAACTTATCAGTATTACTGATTAATCCATTTAATGAACTAATTAATTTTTAAAATACACTACAATGCTACTGCATTCCCCTGCATACTGCAACCCTCTTGACTCCTAATCAGATGCTTATTTCCACTACATTGCTTAATTTATTAACTTTACATTTCTTTTCTTTCTTTAAATGAAGTTGTCCTATGTTAAGTAACGATCTTCCCCGTTTCTGTGTCGATATGCACAAGATGCCTTTAGGGATGGGAAGCATCAAAGCACTTGGAATGGCTAACTGTCCATGACAGTTCCATATATAAACTAAGGCAAATTAGATTATTAAATACATTATAATACGTAATTTATGATATGACTACCCTGATTTGTGAGGCATTTTAACATCAAAGATTTCTCTAATACCAGAAATAAAAACATTTCTTAATTAGCTACAGAAGAATATTCTCCATGTGATGAAGGGGCAGACATTCTAAACTACAGAAAATAGGCACAGAAATCTCTTTAAGCTACAGGATTAATAGCAATGAACTTATTAGATGTACGCAAAAGGGAACAGGCAAACAATCATCAGCTCTAGTCCACTCTGAAGCACTTAAATCCTCTACTTATGACCATGAAATGTAAACAACTTTTCACATAAAACACATGCTTAGGCCATGTCTACTCRGACAACCCAGGGCACTACATCTGCACTCTTCTGTCTCTCAACCACCTGGGTGAAGGCAGGCCCCTGAAGCACAGCTCTCCCTTCACACCTGTCACTGAGCAGACAACCTCGCTCTACCTTCTCATCTCAGCACTTCCAGCGACTGTGATCGCTCAGTGCTGGCTATTTTTGTACTGAATATATACAAAATGCATCTCTTTCATTTTATTTGTGACAGGTATTGGTCAAAGACCATCAATAACACGGGAATTCTACAGAGTATTTATGTCCCTAAACCCATTCAGAAAAAAATTATGAAGGGTTATTATTATTAAAATTATAAATCAGTGTAATAAGAATAGGAGGTTACTGTTCCTCAAAAGATGTTTCACCTACACAGAAGGCCTTTGGCAGTAGGTAGAACAGTGAGACAAGGAAGCTTTAATTGCACTTAAGTTTAGAAATAGAATAGGACAGTAAAATAAAGAACAGAAATGCAGGAAGCTCTAAGAAGCCAGGAATATACATAATGTATAAGGCTGGGGCAGTTGCAAGGGGGTAAGATGGGTGGATTAGTTTTCTTACTTGTAATTAGCTTTCAGGATCGATATTTCCAGTTGGATTTAGAAAAGCCTCTTACATCAGCCGTTACATGGAGTGCCACAATTAAGGACAGTAGCGCAGCCACAAAGTTTCCGAGCTCAAGCTTTCAAATATTATGTTTTTATGAAACGTATAAGCTCTTATATCTGAACATAATTTATCTTTACCCATTTAAAATTTGAGAGGAGACTCAGTTGTTCTGTGCACAAATACTATCTGATAGAAAGAGATAAGGTGATGCTTCCATTCTTCTCAATGTAAGGCACTCTGCCCAGAAAGTAATAGTACTAATTAGATATTTAAAATACAGCTTTCCCATGGGGCCCATATCATAGAGAGGAAAAAAACCAGCCCTTTGCTAACGTTCGGTATTTCAGCACAACGTGCAACCCTAACCCCAACCTCGAATTTTCACAATCAGATGGCACGGTAATAGTCTAGGAAATAACTCCATTACTCGAGACAGCATCTACTTGGAGAAATAAGTGTAAATAAAGGACTCAGGAGGTCTAACTTTGCAAGAAAGAATCTAGAAACCGATTTCCGGGTCAAATATGGGTTACCGCAGGTAAGTATCCTAACGTAATTTCACTCAAACCATGTTCCAACCGAAACCAAATAAGGCTGAGGTCCATACSGTGTCCACTGGAGATTGACTCAAGCCTTCATTCCTCCGATTAGAAGGCCATTTTTCTTAAGGCGTAATTTACATTCATCCATTCACTTGCACTGTCCTTTCACTTTAACAGCTCTCCCACTTTCCTGACGCTCACCTTCTTCATACAACTGTAGAAAGAAATGACATTTCCTCCCCGACTTTGGTTGRCTAAATAACCAAGCTATTTGAGTGTCTCCCAAGAGCAACTACTAACATGATGGGAGAACAAGTCTCTTGCTGCTCTCAGAATTTATCTTTCCTGATTCCAAGTAAGCAGAACATGACAACACTCCACACAAGGTCTTGCCACTCTCAGTAGAATAGCTAGAACATTATATTAAAAAGYTAAAGCCTCTTTTAAAAATCTATATTGCACCAATAAACTGATGATAAGCTTTCTCTCATTTTGCCCTCTTCAACTGCTAAATTTGAATTTTGAAGCAAGAACTCTCACCAGCCTTCCACAGCAAGTCTACACGAGTCATATAACAGCATACGCACATGCTGCATATAGAAAAACTTAAAAAGAGCCTCAGCACCAGGACAGCAATGTAAAGTGACACAGCTAAACAGCCTTCACGATCTCCACTGGCATCTGCAGCCAGGGAATGTTGTTCATGGCCTTGAGGTATACAGTGTCATGACATCAGAAATGCTTGAGTGTGCACCTGTTAAATTTCGCTTTATTTTTCTACTACGTCAATCCCTGAGATCATCCAATTTTTCATGTATGAAACCAGATGACGCTTTGCATTCAGAAAGATTCTCAAGTTGGTATTGGGAATTGCAGAAGCACATTTCTACGATTTCATGATGCTCTTAATAAAAAATAGTTAGTACAAGTCATAGAACCAGTCTTTGCTGGTAGTCACCTCTCATCTGACATCTCTCACACGCACCTTTTATTGTTTCCTATAATATCTTAATTTTTTTTCAATGTCTGAAATAACCTTTATGTTCTCTCTGGTTTAGTKAACATCATTTGATGTCTGGAAACCATTTTGGACTTCTATCCCATTCTCCTTGTGCAATATTACCAACTTTTTAAGGAAAACCACGTGATCAGCAGAACAACACTAAGTTTTCAAAAATTACCAGCTCCAGTGGGAGCTTCTATTTAATGTCTTCATAGCGGAAACTTTCCCCTCAGTTTTTACCTAGCGCTACATGATTACCGTTTGTCAACCATAAAACTTTATGGTGGCTTAGGAAGCTACACGACTGGATTTTTTTTTTTTTTTAATATTTAAGATACTGCCTTCCAGTTTCAATTACCTCCTTACCTCTTTGTTCTTGTACTCCAGCCAAGCTTTGCTGTACTGACATGACAGGTAACACTTTGAAACTCATAGCTCAGATAGACACACGATTTCTGCAGGAAAGAGCTTGGCCACAATCGCTTACCAAAGCTATGCAAAGGGAAAAYAGCTCATGCCCTTGAGGAGATCAAGTGGAGTACTCCAAGGGCATCTACAGTACAAAGAAGCTGGATAGATAGGTTTCCTACAGTACAGGCACAGACATCCTTGCTGGAACCACGAGAATCCTGCTAGTACAATAAATAGGAACCGCTGGCTCCCTGTGACCTGAAACATCAGGCAGTACCAGGTTATCAACAGAAGCTACATCTTTCAAGCAGACTCGTTCTCCCAACCTTGGGATACTCCAGCTCTTCTGCCGAGGCCTGCGTAGACAGCGGTGATCCTTTCTCCGTCAGCTCCTCAATGCGTTTGTTCAGAGAGGCCAGTTTGGCTTTGGCTTGAAGTTTAAGTTTCATCAGCTTCACATCCGCAGCCTCTCGTTCTTTCTGTAAGAGAAGGACACAAACTGACTGCACCTCAGACTCCAGGGCTCTTACCTAAGAAGCAGCACTTTGAAAAGCTACACAACTTGTCAGTCTGCCATACTCTGTTTAACTCTGCCTCCTGAGTAACTGCACTATTTAAAGCACAACGGCAAATCAAATTTATTCTGAAATACTACACATATCAAAACTGTGGTTTCTACCCCAGCACCTTCTTTCAAGGGTCAGAGCACTCAGGGACTTCACCCAGCAGTGDAGTTTCAGTTAGACTTCCTCTGCTAGATGCAGTCCCTCAGAACAATCTCAAGTTACTGCACTCCCACCAGACCTCAGGGTAGGCAACACAAACCTTTGGGAATGTGCCATAAAACCACTGGACTGCCGGATGGGCGCAGCACAGCCTACTCTGTGTCAAACACTCTGAAGCAGGGAAAGGACAACCTCAAACAAGATACAGTATTTATTAAAACCACTGGTAATCCACATGGGCCTCAAGGAGCTCCGAGACAAAATGCTGCATAACTTGGATGTAACCTATCTACTCTAGACTAAATCAAGGTACCAGAAGCTATCCTACATCTCTTGGGTTAGGGTCCATTCTTCAAATTCCAATAACTCTCTGGAATTTATGCCATCAGTCATGCAGGCATCTCATGTTAAAAAAAACCAAAAAAACTAGAGACTGGATTGCACAGAAAACTGAAGCAGCACTTTACTCTCAATCCCCAGAGAAAGAAATGGTACCTTGAGTACWGTGTCCTTTTCCTGGAGCAGAGCATCCTTTTCTCTAATCAAATCCTTCAGCTGAACAACTAGCTTTTCCGTTTGGGCTAGGCGCTCCAACAGCTTCTCATGGGCCTCCTCCATGTTTTCTGCTTCTGACTCCAAAGCTCGTACCTGGAAACAACAAAATGAGTGTCTGAAGGAAAACGTCTATAAACAGCCTGCAGCGGAGCATTCACATGGTATCTTCAGCTCCACTCTTAAATGCTGCACTCTGCTCCCTGCAGGCATTTCATGGAGCCTGTGGAAATATACAGTTAGGTGAAACCAGAAGGAAAGCTCAGAGAACCCGTAAGCCAATACACAACAAAGAGTACCTTGCTGAGCACCACATGAACAATCTGAAACAAGAGGCACCCTCACACAATATCCACTGTCCCAATACCAAGGGGCAGCATAGAGATGAAGCATTCCACTGTTACCCAACCACGCAGAGCTTCCCCTTCTGCTACACAGAATCACTAGTACTCCTAGAAGTCCTTCTTCACCCTAATTCTAGTTGTTTCCTAGGATCACCTTGAGATGTGGAAACTGAAGAGATTATGGTCTGCCTGACAGAAATGCTGACTTTAGAGGTGAGGAGTAGAAGAAAAGCAGAGTGGAATGACAGCTCAGTCTAGTGCTCAGCAAGGAAGAAGCAGAAGACAGTTTTCACAGCAGTCTAACGAACCAGACTTCCCAAAGTAATTGTCAAAAAGATCTGAAAATCTTTAGACAACACTGTACTTACAGCAACAGAGGGTTCAGTAACTGCATCTAGATTCTCCCCGGACGGCTCTTGTAAAACTGTATTTGTAAAACCTGACAATCGGCTCAGCATCTTGAGCCTAAAACAAAACCAAGAGTCAGAACACAGTTGCAGAGTCAAAACTGCTATGAAGAATAAGCTCCATCATGCTGATCTTTAATGTTACAGCAGTTGGTGATCAGGCTTGCAGGGAATTCATCTGCTTTGCCAAGAGAGAAAAGTCAAAGTAAAAGCTCAGGGAAAAAAAAAAAAAAAAAGGCCACATTAAACAGGAGCAACCGGACCTTCTGAACGTAAAAGCAGAGGATGTGCTGGTGTCAAAACACATGAAAATTCCTTCACTGTTCTACATGTATGATTGAAAAATACATTTTTATACTGGATGCTAAGTCGTCCTCATAGTTCATGCTTGATCTTTCTTAACAATGACATTACAGAAGCATGATCTGTTCAATTTACTGAAGAGAAGGGTGATTGTTAATTGAAGTAATTTTTCTACAGCCTAAACATGGCTTGTAACATAAAATCAGCCTTCTGATAATAAGTAGTAGAAATAATGGAGCGAACCTTGACGTTTGCCAAACAGATGAAAGTGTGTCACATCGGAGAGATGATGAAACCTCTGCACGTCACATACGGGACAGGACAGGACCCTGACATAGGGGAATAGTCCGGAGAGGACGTACGTTCCCTGGCTGCTGCTTAGCGTACCTTCTTTCCTTTCCTTGAAATTCGGGAGCCAAACTAATGCAGCAAGTGCAAATGAAGAACCAAAAAACATGCAGTAGTACCAGCCAGCAACACAGAACTTGTAATTTTGGGGAGAGAAGCAAATTAAATGCTCCATTATTAACCAAGATTTTTGATGTTAGATATCAYGCTAAGAGCAAAGGATTTGACCAACTGAACTCCCAAAGTCCCTTAAGAATCACAGAATCGTCATTCTAGTGTTCTATAAAAAGAGTTCACATGTGACATTTGACATCTGTGAACAGAAAGGCCACAGAACTGTCTATGCCCGCAAATAACAAAATCATTCATACAATTACAGAAGCTCCAGTAATGCAAGCTGAGACTAGGCAAAGTCACATTAGCTATAAGATAAGTATACATTATTACCATTATCTTCATCAAATGGAATCTTTTAATATGACAAGATGTCTCACTAGAAGCAGGCTTCTGAAGCTGGCTACACAGATCCACTCATTTGTGACCTCGTTAGTCTTACTAACGAGGTTAGTCTTACTAACTAAGCAAATCCTTTGTCATAGATTGCCACTTAAACGTGTGAAAATACTGATACTGTAGACGAGCAGTGCACTACTTTTCTGTAGCAGTGACCTGATTYTGCAGAAGCAGAAAACGCGACAACGCATCAATAGCAGAGAAGGGCACGTGAGCACGAACCTGCTTTGTGCTCTAAGGAGCTCATAAGTCTGCTGGTTCAGTAGTGAGGTTTCCAAGGTAGAGCTGTCACACACAGGTCTTTCATGCCATTCCTTTTCATCTCTTGAGTACTGACAGGTTGCAGGAACCAAGACTTTTGATGGAGAGAAAAGCAAAAAAGAACAAAAAAAGAAGAGAAAAATAAATTATTCCATAGTAAAGAAATAAGCCCATCCTACACAGTACAGGGTTGTTAGTCAGACACTTGCAATTAGCATAAAAATGAAAAGTCTGCTCTGTTTGGGAGTAGAGAAATTTAGAAATACAAAAAAGAAGCAGAATCTAGGTAGGTATCTGCGTGGGGCTCAGCACATATCTGCACGCTACAGGCATTACAATTTYGAGCGTGCATATCTGGGTTGGGAAAATATTCCTTGGCCTTTGTCCATATTAACCTGATAGTGCACTCAAGCTAATAAGCCTTGCTGGGTTTGGCTCACAGTTGGTCTCCTCAAAACACAGAGGAACCATCTGCAGCTATTCGCACAGTTGCGGACTTTAATAACGTGAACTCAAGTCTTAGAGATTCATGTCTTTTGATTTTACTTTTAAATTATATTCTCAGGTCAGCTGAATATGGCAAGGGATGYGAATAGGGAACAAAAAGTTATCTGACAAATCTATAAACAGCAACAAGTTTGCTGTCTATGTAGGGGAAACAGGGAAAACATGGGCCTAGGTGTGCCACTACTCTGGATAGCATCTGTCAGAACACATCCCTGAAAGCAGCACTGCAGAAAGAGGCTGGGGATCGTGATGGACAACTGATCTAAGTCATCAATGTACCCTCATGACAAAGGCAAGGAGCATGCTGAGCTGCATTGGGAGCATTGTCAGGAGGAAGGTGATCCTTCCTCTCCACTGGGCACTGGTGAGGCCACATCTGGAGTAATGTGTCCAGTTCTGGGCTCCCCGGAAAAAGAAGTAGGAATTTGTCAACGAAAATTCAGTGAAGGACAACAAATAAAAGACTCAAGGAGAATCTTATAAAAGAAACACAGACTGGCTGAAGTTARTAGCTCATCTGGTCTAAGCTCCAAACGGGCCACCCAGAGCTAGTCATCCAGGATGGCTGTGCAGGAAGCTTCCAAATATCTCCAAGGTTAGRGGCTTCACAACCTGTGCCAGTGATCAGTAACCCACTCAGCGAAAAAGCATTTCCTGACGATCAAGGTAATCTCCTGTGGCTCAGGTCACGGCCTGTCATCCTGTAACCAGACACCACTGTAAAGAGCCTGGCTGTGCTCTCTTTGACCCCTCCCCAAGAACAAGTCCAGGAACAAGCATAACATGGCTTTAAATTCTATTCCAAAGCCAACAGTCTACGCAGAGGGTGGTGGCCGTCCCATGCATTAGCCTCGAGGACTTGGGGCAGGAATATCCTGGTGTTATACAATGCCCATCAGTTTCCCCACAAACACCAAAGGACAGAGGTCATTCTGCATTCCACTTCCTCACCCCAATAAAGCAAACAGTGCACCTCTCAAGTGACAAGATTGGTGCTCTCCCAGGCTTACACTAGCATATGGATTCCCATCTCTCTAATGAACAGCACTGTGCAAGGACCCTCGCTGTGCTCAGGACCCTCTACATTCTAGCTGTAGTGAAAAATAACCTTTTACTCAGCATTCTTATGACTAATGAATTTTTGCTGGGGAGACTTTACTTTGAACACTGGGACCACCAGTGATTTGAAGGAGGCTCCTTTCCTCTGAAATACACATCCCTGACCCAAACAGCCTAAGCCCACTGGTAGTCTGCACAGTCTGCAGCATGCAGGGTATAAATCCAGGCATTTCTCATAGCAAAGAAAGACYTGACAGTGTTCTTCCCTACTTTCTTCTATTGTAAGTTGACTATACATAAATGACATTAATTACTTGCATTTCCCTTCGTTTAAAACCAAACACCCATTAAAGGCTCTACTGCTGCGCACAGGCCCTGACCCAAACTTTTCGCACCGTACAGAAAGGTTCCGAGAGAAACCAGGAGCGCCGGGGAAAACGGGAATGCCGCGCCGGGAGGAATGCCGCGCTCCAGCCTCTACGACGGGCGGCGGGCAGCGCCGACGGGCCCCAGCAGCCCCGCAAATTTACCGGACCGCACACCTCCGGCGGGCCCCGCTGAGTGCGAACCTTCCCCGGCCGGGCTGCGCTCCCGGTACCTGGAGGCACCGCCGGCGGCGTCCCACCGGCGGGGGTAGAGCTGGGCCGGGCCGCAAAGCCCGGAGCAGGAGGAGAGGCCCGCCCCACCAGCTCGGCCCGGCCCATTGCTCCTTACGGTCGGCGACCCAGGGAGCAGCGAACCCGCTCTGACAGCGAAGGGCCACGAAAGGAGCCCGGGCGGCAGAATCCGCGGACCGCACATGGCAGGCGGACAGCACCGAGGGCGAGGGGAGGCACTGACCTGCAGCACGGCGGGGGTGTCAGCACCGAGGGGCGGCTCTCACCTGCCGAGGAGCCCCCGCCAGCCCCGCCGCCGCCAAACCGCTCCCAGCGTGCCACCTCAGCACCGGAACGCGCTGCCGCCGCTTCCGCCTCCRGCGGAGGCCCGCCCCCAGGCGCAGAAGAACCAATCAGCTACGGTGTTTGAGAGATAGACGTGACCGTCAGGCAATCGGAACGCAGCAGCCGCCTCGGCGCCATGGTTTTCCTGCAACATGGCACAAAGTCACCAATCCCGAGGAAGCCTCGGGCTCCCGCCCAATAACAAGGCGGCGACCAATCAGTTGCGGGGTTTCGGGCCGGCCCGGGGGTGTTGATGAGACGGGGGCTTGGATTGGACGGTGGGCGACGGGGGCGGGGCCAGATCCGTGAGGAGACCGAGCGGGGRCCGAGGGCGGGGCCGGGGCTCAGTACCGGAGGGCGCTCCGAGTGGTGCGTAGAGGYGCGTAAAGGGAACGTACCTTTAGGGATGACTCAATCCCACCCCCTTGCCGTGGGCACGTGCCACGAGGCCGGGTTGCTCCAAGCCCCTTTCAACCCGCTCTTGACAGTTTCCGGAGATGTCCGGTCCAAACCTGCCCTCATGCACATGAGCACTGTTGTCCCTTGCTCTGGCACGACAGCTCTTGGCATAAAAATATTTTTTCTTTTTTTCTGAACTCCCTCTGTATGCTGATAGGCTGCAGTAACGTCTCTCCAGAGTCCTTCCCCGTCTGAAACACCCCCAGCTCTCCCAGCCTGTCTCCAGAGCAGAGGGGTTCGAGCCCCTGGAGCATTTCTGTGGCCTCCTCTGGACCTGCTTCAGCAGCTCCACATCTGTCTTGTTTTGAGGGCTCAAGGGCTGGAGGCAGCTCTGCGAGTGGGGTTTTACCTGAGCAGGGCAAAGGGACAGAATTCTCCTTCTCACCTTCTGCCCATGCTGCCAGGGATGTGCACGCTGCCAGGCCTTGTCCAGTTTTTTTGTTTTCCTTTAGTCATTCTCAGAACTCTTGATCCGTTCACCTCCTGGTCTATGCTGTTACCAGAGGTTGCCCCCAGTCAGGTGAAGGGCAAGATTTCGGGAAGCCCGAGCAGTGCAGTTTCCTTGCCTCCTGGCTGACTAACTGTGCACACGGATGCACCATATTGCTATTTCTGATGGCACCACGTAGTGCTATCCTGGTGTGGCCATGGGTTCTGTCCCGAATTCACAGGGCCTCAGGACCAATGCCTGCCAGGCCTGCTCTGAATTTTTCATGCCCTGCCTGCAGCTTTGTTCACTTTTTTCACTTTGTTCACTTGAGCTGTGAGTGCAATTTCTCCAGGTATCTATGGCTAATTTATTTTACTTACCTATCTTTGTATGGTACAACCATGGGCTTATATTGGTAGTAATAGCAAGCAGTTATTCTAGGTAGAATGAGATATTTACAACTCTAACACACTATATGAGTATAAGCAGAAAAAAAAGAGAAGAAATTAAAAAAAAAAAAATGTAGAGAGGATGAGGAAACCATTAGCAAGAACATCACATTCCTCCCAGTGAAGGATTCTAGATACTGAAAATTTCCCAATTTCTTCTCTCCCACTCTGCAAACGTCCAAGTGAACCACAGATCTTAATATCCAGAGGAGAGCAGGCAGGTCAGCGTAACACCAGAAAAAGCACAGAAATAAAGCACATGTGTTGCAATTTTAACTAGATTGTTGCTACTGGTGCATCTTTTTTCTTGTCTATAAGTACTTGACCAACGTTATTTCTCTTTGCTTTTCTGTAATTTGATATAGATTAATTATGACTTGCAAATTAGATTGTCAAAATTTCTATTATACTAAAAATAAATTTTGGCTTTAAATGTGTGTGCAAAACATGCTGATACTCTATAGGGAAGGGATAAGGCATCCAGAAGGATTTGGRCAGGCTAGAGAGAAGGGCCCATGCCAGCCTCATGAAATTTGACAAGGCCAAATGCAATCCCAGACATGGGTACTGAATTGGTCACGAGTGACTTGAGACCAGTCCTGTGTAGAAGTCCTTGGAGGAGTACTTGGTAAATGAAAAACTGAATATGGGCCGGCAATGTGCACTCACAGCCCAGGAAGCCAACTGTAGCCTGGGCTCCGTCAAAAGGAGCATAACCAATTAGGGAGGAGATTTTCCCCCTCTACTTGACTCTGTCTGTTTTAGGGGAAGGTAGAGTCAARTAAGAGGGAGACTCCTCTGCCCATGGTGAGGGGTGTAATTTGCAGCCCAAACTATTCTGTGATTATGTGAAGGTCCATTGGTGGAAAACACATACAGTGTCTGGGCTTGGACATCCAGCCTACCCAGCAGCTGCCTCTTGATGCCTGGGCTCCCCAGCTGCTGGCACCTGGACAAGCCAGACCCTCCAAGGCGCAAAACCCCACAAGAGTCACTGGTACCGATTCCACTGCACACAGCGACATACAAACCAACATGTACGTTGTGTGTCACTCCAGTACACGTGATGAAGTTCTCAGGAGGATGCAGCTGTTTGTCTCCTGCACAGAGAAACACACAGACAGGTGGGTCACTCTCAAGCTTACATCTTCAGTCTAATAGTCAGCTACTCCAACAGTCTCTCACTAACGGACACATACACATACCCGTTTCCCCAAACTACTTTGCTTATTTGCTGGCTAATCTGGCTTGATATTTGGTAGTGATCATAGACTGACATGGTCTCACTCAATCCAGTTGTG